GCTGCATCATTGGGTTGGAAGAGAAAGCGGCTTTCCTCCTTCTTGGGGCATTGTTTGAGTTTTCGAAGTCTGCTGTGGGTTTCTTCTGTGAGTTTGCATTTTGGCTTTCAAAGCCTGAGAAGGAAGAGAATGGAAATAAAGCCTCTGTGGGAGATGGGGGGTAGCTCCTTTCGGGCTGGGCCTGGGGAGATTTTTCCTGCTTTAGGACAGGACCCTGCTTCCTGCAGGTGCCCTGGCCCCTCCCTACCTCCTCAGCAGCAGCCTCCGGCTCTGAGCCCCGCCCTCCTGCCACCGCACTGCCTGTTTCTTCAAGCCCTGCCTGGGTCCTGGCCAAGGGCCCACCTCCTGAGGCACTGGACAATGTGGCCGGGCCTTCGACTGGCCTGGGGAGGCATCCCGATTTGGCTTTCCTGCCAATACCAGAAGGAAAGAGACATTTACAAACGGGTCCCGGGCAGGTCAGTTTATGTAAAGGCTCACTAAGGTCGGTCTCACAGCCATTTCTCACTTTACAGATGTGCAGACCGAGTCTCCGAGACAGGAGGTGGTAACCCAGCCGGGAGGAGATAAAGCTGGGAGCCGGGGAGAAGGGGGTGGGGGTCAGCAGGCCGACTGGGTGAGGAAGGGGCACCCTTCTCTCTGTTTAGTGTGTCCCCCTCCTGTGTCTCCAGATGTGATCCTTTGGGTCCAACCCTTTGAAGTTGGTTGTACTTGGCCCCTGTCTCAGGGGCCTCCTGCCTGCTTTCATAGCACCATCGACCAGGAGGAGAGAGGTGCCCCCGGCTGTCCTTAAAAATATGTGAAGGGGACGAGGAACCTCTGGCTGCTCCCTTTCTGGTCGGAGAGCTCCTGCCCTGTTTCTCTGGTCTGTGGGCTTTGACCCCAGGCTGGACTAGGGAGAGAATTCTACTCTGACGCTGCCTGCAGGGTTTCTGTGATAACTTAGTCCTTTGTCCACCGACTGGGTGGGCAGCTTGGGTCTTAGGTAAGGGGACTGTGTCCCCCAGAGCTTGGAGTCTGTCCAAAGGACTTTTAATCATTCTTAAAAAAAAATTACTGATATGTTCACACGGCTTTAATGTCGAAAGGTCAAGAGAGCAAAGGTGAGGAGTCTCCCACCCCTCATCTCTCAGCCGTCTCGTTCCCCACCCAGGAGGCAGCCACGGTCAATGGTTCCCAGGGGTCTCTTTCTAAAGACAATGTGTGTGTGTGTGTGTGTGTGTGTGTGTGTTGTTGTTGTTGTTGTTGTTAGCAATTCCTAAGAGGGCCCAAGCGAACTGGAGCGAATTGGGACAGTCCCCAGGGAAGCATTTGTGACAGTGCAAGGTGCTGAGTCAGGGACAACAGGCAGATAAGGATATTCTGAAGACAATTCCCAGAGGACCTGGCTATAAAACCTCCTTTCCCCACAGCGAGACAGGCGAGATACTGACATGTGGAAGTGGACACAGCAGTGGTCAAAGTCCTCCTTTAGCCACAGGGCGCCCTCGCCCAGAGCAACGGTAGGGGCTGCCCGGAAATGCCACCCTGGGCTGCTTAGCTGTGTGACTTCCGTTACTATCTTCGCCCTCTCTGGGCCTCCTTGCTCCTCATCTGTGAAACCCCTGATCTAGGGTTTTAAACTTTTGTTACCCTTTTAGTCTGAAGAAAGTGTGGACCTCCTTGGATGCATAGGTCATTAGGATTACACATGTAAGTGAATCACACTGAAACATGGTGGGTTTTCACACTTGGTGGCCCCGGGGGTCCCACTGGGCAGTGTGATTCCTGCTCCGAGTAGGCTCAGAGCCAGGCCCAGCTCCCCCCCGCTGTGCTGGCGCCTGGCACAGTGCGGGGTCTGGTGGTGCTGACGGGGGGGGGGGGGGGTGGGGGTGTGGAGTCAGGACCATCCACGTTCCCTGACAGTCGGCTTCTCCTCTGTCTACAGAGGGTCTCCTCTCTAAGAGATGAGTGGGTTTGCCCAGCGTTCAGTTTCCAAAAGGTGGCAGCACTGTCCCAGGGAACAGACTCCCGGCCACCTGGTGGGAAGTGCCTTTGTGGCCGCCTTCTGCCCTCCTGCCCTCGAAGCCCAGGAATGTGTTTCTCATTTCTCGTGGGCCTGAGGTGTCCTGTCCACGTTCCTCTCCCCTCCCCGTCACCTGATCTTAGCCTCGCAGATGGGCCCCGTCCCTGGCCAGCTTCTCTTCCCTGACCCACGGCCGGTGCCTGGCTGGGCGGGCAAGCAGCTCGGGACCTGGCTGCAGTCAGACGCAGAAGGAAGCTGTGCTCCTGCCGTTGACTTTCCCCTTCCTGCGGCTGTCTGGGGTGGGGTGGCCTGGGGGTGCTGGAGGGAGGTGGGCATTTCAGGCAATGGAGTCTTGGGGGTGTTTTTCTTTTCAACCACTTTGTCATGGGCTGAGACGGCCTTGGGTGTTTTAAGGGATCTGTGTGTGGTTGCCAATTGCCAGAGTCACTTCATACTCGGCGGTGGCCGCCAGTCGTCCTGCGCTGGTTCTGGGGCCGGGAGTTGGGGGAGGATGAGCCATTCCTGGACTCCCACGGAGTGGGTTTGCGTTCAGGAATCTGCTGGAGAACACAGGTGTGCACAGCAGACAGAGGAGCCCGCGGGAAAGGACCAAGCCAGATGCAGTTCTGACTGGCGGGCATGTGGGGTGTCATCTTCAGTGCCCGAGCCTCCAGGACAAAAAACGGTCCCTTAGGACGGCTTTCTGTCTACATATCGGTCTTTAAACCACTGTGCCAACTCGCTGTTGCTTCCATGGTCCACACTCTCTCTCTCTTTCATACCCAGATGCGCACAGAGTCAGGCATTTATACACTGATTAGGGCGCATGGACGAAGAGGGACAACCCCACAGGGTTTATTTAGTTCACCCTTTATTCCAAAAGCAGGTCTGGAGCCAAAGCTGTGCGCTCGCTTGGTCTTGGGAGAAGCTGGAGTCTGGAAGCGCGAGTTTATAGTCTGCCCCGCAGGGCGGAGATGGCAGTGAGCAAACAAGCGGAGGAGCTAGGAAAGTGCGGGGGACAGACTGTGCTCTCCAAAGAAGTGGTCTTACGAGTAACAGTGTGACAGTGGCGAGCAGGAGGCACCACAAGGCCGGGAGAGGGGTCAGGACTCCTGGGTCCAGGACCTCGGTCCAGTCTGAGCCTGATGAGTTCAAGGCTCAGAGAGAAACCGCAGGTGCCGCCGACTTGGGCGGGGCCAGATCCGGAGGCCTAGTAGCCTGGGGGAGGGGTTGAGATGCGACAGGACAGTGACAAGATGAAGTCCCTCCAGCCCAGTTACACAGCCTGTAATTCCCATCATGTGGCATTGTGTTTGCGGCCTCCTCGGAGGAACGCAGGGCAGTGGCTGGAGTCAGCAAGCCTTTCTGTGGCGTTTAACGCCGTGCTCCTCGAAACCCGGCGACAGTCCCACAAGGACAGGTGTCACCGTGAGCACATCCGTGAGAGAACCCAGGGGCAGGCCTGGAGTAATTCACTCAGGGTCCCCCAGCGAAGGGCCAGAGCTGGGTTCGAATCCCAGCAGGGCAGGCGCCACGCCCCTGCTCCTCGTGCCTTCCCGGCACTGGAGCCCTGGGTGGCTTTCTGTTGCATTGTCAGTTTATTCTCATTACTTAGTTAATATGGGGAAACACTGTTATAATTTGCATTTCTTTGACCACTGCTGAGATGGCATAGATTTTCACGTCTTCTTTGTGATAAAATATGTATAGCATAAAATTTGTCTCTTAACTATCTTTCAGTGTCTAATTCCCTGGCATTAAGTACATTCACTGTCGTGCAGCCAACACCACTACCCCTTTCCAGAACTTCTTTGTCACCTGAAACAGAAACTCTATTGTCACCTCGCAAGAACCCCCCGCCTCCGCCCTGGCACCTCAAATCCTCCTTTTGTCACTGTGAATTTGCCTGGATATTTCATACAAGTGGACCATCCGACACGTGTCCTTCTGTCTGGCTTATCTCACTCCGCATGATGCCCTCGAGATCTGCTCATGGCGCAGCCCGTGTCCGAGCCTCTGTGTTGAGTGGCACCCACTCGGCACTCGCACCGCACGTGCTTGCCAGCTGTCTGTCCACGGACACTGGCCGTTTCCACTCCGGCGGCCGTGCACATGGAGACAGGACCTTTCCGGCCACTCGCGGCGGTTCTGGGGGAGCTCTCGGGAGCCTGGAGAGCCCGCTGCCTGGAGCGGGGGGCAGGGGACCCTCCACGTGTGCAGTTAGGGATGGTGCTGAGCTCTTCAAAGGAACTAGCCTGGGAATGTTTGAAAAGCCCAGGTGAACACTGCAATTGTTCTCATGCCAAAACCCATCCTAATTTGGTTCCCTTCCCGTCCACTTCATGGACTCAGAGAGTTAAAATCCCTGGGAGGTTATTGTGTCCTTTGTTTCCAAGTATGAAGTTGTCTCCTAGAGGTGGAGACTTAGCTTGCTCTGGACGGGCCTCAGGGTCACTGCGTGGGAGTCTCGGGTCTGCCGGGTGACATGGGGCAGGTTGGCCCTAACTGGCCTCAGTTTCCCCACCTGTAAAATGATGTACACCCCTTGGTAAGAAACTATACCTCCTTCTGGGACAGAAAGGTTAAGACGTTCCTTCTTCATTCAAACCTAATTTCTTCATCGCTGCTGCTTGTACTGCCAGCCTGTTCCTCTCTCATCTGTGAGGAGGCACTGCCAGCGTCCCACCCCCGACCAGCGATTCTCTACTTCCTGGGCCACACTGTCACGTCCGTAGACCCTTGGCCTCTGATCAAATGACAAAGCGGAGTCCCCGGGTGTGAGGCAGGCGGACTGCGGTTCCTGCGCTGGCAGCGGGGGGCTCTTTTTTCTTCCTCCTTGACGACCAGCAATGCTTGTGACAGGAGCCCCCCCTCTGGCATCCAGTCGGCCCCGGAGGCCTGGCAGCTCGTTGCCAGGAAATAAAAGATGCCGCTGTCACACTGCGCCCCTTTTCTCTGAGGCACGAGGCCACTCGAAGCCGTTTTTCTTTTGCAGGACGATAAATCTGAAAAGCCCTCTGCTGCAGCAGGTGTTGGAGAGGAGGAACGAAGTCCTGTGTGTCCTGACAGAGAAGATAGTGACGACGCAGAAGTGTGTGGTATCGGAGCACATCCAGGTCCAGGAGAAGTGTGGCGGCATGGTGGGGATCCGAACCAAGACCGTGCAGGTGTGGGCCTGAGGGCTGGGCCACGGCAGCTGCGCTCCAGCTGCTAGGACCTTGGTCAGGGTCTTCGTTGGGTGGTGTCACCGTTCACCATGACTCTGTGTAGCAAGTTAACAAAAATCCAATTAGAATTGGCTTAAATAAGAAAGAATTTATTGGCTCCTGTAATCAGAGCATTCAGGGTTAACGGGCTTCAGTCGCTGTTGGATCCAGGACTCAGCATTGTGAGCTGCCTCCCGGGGGTGGGTGCCCTCCGACAGGCTGGCTCCTTGTGGTGCGGTAGCACCAGGTGTTTGTCCCACCTGCTGTGACCCCAGTGGGGAGAGATCTGGGGGCTGGATCTCACTGCCCCAGCCCGGGTCACCTATTCCTGCAGTGGACCCAAGGCCAGGGCCGTGGAACTCTCAGATCGGCTGTGCCCGCCTGGGTCAGGCGCATTCCCGTAAAAAAATAGGACAAACAAGCACAAGCCAGGCCAAAAGCACAGTTAACCCCTAGAGTCCCTGGGAGTCAGGGGTCTCAAAGTGGTAGCTTTGGGATTAGCTGCCTCAGGTCCTTTGCGGGTTGTTAGGGAAGGTAAGGATCTATCTGTCCGTCTATAGATGCATAAATGGGTGATTCTGGATTACAGTCTGGACAGCCTTACAAGCTGTCCCTGAGCTGGTCCCAAACTTCAGTGGGACAGGAGGCCGTCACCCCCAAGCCCTCTCCACTCCAGCTTGTCCTGCCACCTGCTGTTTGATTCTTAGAGACTTGGGGCGACTTTTGGCCTTTGCTAGAGGACCCAGGAGAGTTGAGTTTGGAATGTGGAGCTACAGGCCTGGGGCTGGGTTCTCCTGGGGGGACAGGCTGGACAGCAGTGACGAGGGACATGCCCGATGGGAGGTGGTTTCTGCGGCCCTGCCAGACTTTCTGTCCAAGGCGACCCCACCAGAGGCGCAGAGTCAAGCAGCCCACCTGGGAGGCAGGCAGCCAGCGGTCATCCCACTCTGGCCAGGACCAAGTTGCTCAAAAAGTCTTTGGACTCCAGCGTTTGGGCAACACACAGATCCCCGTCTCCCCCTCCCCAGGCCTGGTGGGGAGGCGTTGGTAACGGCGGGGCCGACTCCTGGCCCTTTCCCACCCAGCCTTCCCGCCCTTGCTTCTTCCACCACCTCCCCCCTGGTTTGGCAGCACAGGGTCTGGAGTGACGAGGCAGGGGGCGGGGGAGGGGAGTGGGGTGGGGCACGGGTGCGGCAGGGGGTCTCTCTCAGCTGGGTTCCCCTCGGGCTTTGATGTTGGTTAGGCATTTGGTTTGGATTTCAAGCAGTTTCTGTAACCCTCTGTGAGGGAAAGGGAAAGCCGTCTTGTCTGCCTTACTCATTACCTGCCTTACTCGTCACCTGCAGGCCTAACTTCACTGTACCAGGAACCTGCAGTGTCACTTTTGTGCCACCAGGTCGGCCACCTATGTGGGCACGTGTTACATCGCCAGGCCCAGGGCTGAAATCCCTTCACCCCTGCGGCTGGCTCCTCCTTCCCACTCAGATCCCGGGCATTTGCATGAGGCCACAGGGGTGGGGGGGCAGAGGGGCCCAGGGCAGACAGTGGGAGGCTCAGGGTGTGCTCTCGTTTGCAGGTGTCAGCTATGGAAGACGGGACCACCACCAAGGACACCAACGTGGTGCTGGAGATCCCCGCTTCGACCACCATCGCCTACAGTGTCCTCGAGTTGTACGTGAAGCTGGACGGCCAGTTCGGTGAGTGCTGCCTCCAGATCGAGGCTCTCGGGAGATGACACAGCCAAGGCTGAGGGCCGCGCCGTGTTCCCCTGGGACACACACTGGGAGAGGTTGGGGCACACAGAGATCCTAAGAACGTGGGGTCATCCAATGACAAGGGGACCAGCAGGCTGCATTGGCAGCATGTGGCGAGGTTTCGCCAGCACGGCACAGGGTTAAGAACGTGTCCCCTGTGATTAGACAGACTGGGCATCAGCCCGGTGCCATGTGTCCTGTGAGGTCTCGGGCCTGCTGCCGGGCCTAGCTGAGCCTCGCCAAGTCCTGGGGCTGCAGGGGGATTAAACGGGTGAGGCACGTGGCGAGCCTGGCACCGCGGCGTTTATTAAGTACTCCACCTCAGCCATTAATACCACCACCACCATCATGTCACCTCCCCTGAAGCCAAAAATGCTGCTCTGGACCTTGCTCTGCTGATCACCACTGTGTTGGAAGCTAGCCAACCCTGGCCACTGCACCGTTTGAAGAAAGTAGGTTCAGCACGTGTCTGCTGATCTCAGGTGTGCGCCGCCCCTCCCCCATGCTCTTCCTGAAACATGTTGAGTTCAAGAAAAGTGTTTGTTTCTTGAGGATGTGAATGAACTCATATAACAAATTATCGTTAACCTCCTTAGGTACGGTGGTAATGTGGTTATGTCGACTAAAAAAGTATTTTTTAGAGCTTTCTACGGACGTCTTCACAGGTGAAATGGTAATGACTACAGCGGGCTTCAGCAGTGACGTGGATGGGGGAAGGTGTGCCGTGGGTAGAGGCAGAGAGCAGTCGTCCACGCTGGTCGATGAGTGAGGGTGGCTTGTGTTCCGCTGTTCTCATGCAGTTTTGAGTTCTCACAATGAAAATGTTGTAAGGTGTGCCCTCACAGAGCGTGCCCGGGTTTCCTACTGCCTCTGGCACATCCCCCAGGTGGCTTCTGTCAGGTGGCAGGGCCGGGCTCAGGATGAGGCGGCCCGGGGTGGGGTTGGGGGGCGGAGCCGGCTTCTTGTACTCACGGTGACCACCCTGGTTGCCCCACTGCAGGGCAGCAGCTCCGGGCGCTAACACTGACTGGCCTTGTAGGACAGGCGACAAGCTCATGGGCACATGAGGACCCCGAGGGGGTCAGAATGCAATCCCAGAGCCCCCACCACCACTTTGGTACCAGCCTGCATTTCAGGGAGGTGGCAAGAAGTGTTGGTTTTAAGGAGTTGGTCTAGAGAGGTAGGACAAGTTCACTTGGAGTATCAGGACACCGAGAATTGTCGCCTGCATTTTTTAGATCCCTGGTTCCAAGTTTGTGTCATCCTGGGCATTTTTAATCTTTAGTCTTTCTCGTTGAAAGATGTTCATCTACTGAGCAAACTGCACTAAGATGATCAAGTTTTTATTATCAGTATGTGATAAACCGCTGATACCACATGCAAGGATGTGAATCCAGCCCAGGATGTTCTCGCCTTGGTGATTCTGTCCAGATGGACTGACAGTCGAGGTGTCACTTGTGCAAGCTCGGCCTGCCCCCGAGGGTGATCGTGAGTGCCGTGAGGACCTTTTGGCAGCTGGGGGCTGGGCCAGGGTGCCACTCCAGGTAGGGTGGCTGTGGGAGCCGTCCTGTTTCTCTGAGGAAGGGGGCGCCCTGCCCTGCAGCTCCGGGCACCTGCCCTCGGGGGTCTCTTTACACAGCTGGACGTGGAAAGACACAGCCCAGCGTGGTGCAGCGGCTCTCCTGTTTGCATCTCAATCTCAGGCCTTTCATCTTGGCTCGCCTCTGTTGTTTTTGGAAACAAACTCCTCTTTGAGCTGCTGAGAAGAGGCGCCCTGGGGAATTCTCGAGGTTCCTCTGGCTTACTTCCCACCCCCGGGTCCCAGCAGCCCACTGCCTTCACTGTCCTGTCCTGCTGCGCATGGTCACACCAGTGCGGCCCGGGGGTCAGGCCCTCATCCCGTGAGACTCGGTGCCTGATTTTGAAGACAGTTCTGCTTTTATTTCCCATCTGTGTTCTCTGTCACTCTTGCCACAGGATGTTCTGATCTAGCTTCATAAACAGACCCACAGGGCCTGCAGGGCCCCCCAAGAGCCTGCCTGATGCCTCCTCCCACCTTCTGGGGGGAGTGCACTTGACAAGCATCCTGCTGGTCCTTCCAAACTTTGAGAGGCGGCCGACTCCCTCCTGTTCTTGGGGGAGGCGCCCGTGCAGCCTCCTTGATGAGCTTCTCTCCGCAGCGACCCGTCCTTCACCCATAGCTCCCCACCCCCTATTCCCCACCCCGACTCTTCACCCACTCTGCTGTGTCTTGGAATTTTCCTGTCCATCCCATCCCAGCTGTGTGGCCAATGTGATTATTTAAAGATGAAAATGTGGCCATTTCACTCACCTGCTCAAACACCTTCCCAGTCTCCCTTTGTTCCAAGATCAAGTCTTCATCCAGCTCATTCCCCCACCACCTGGGAAAGCTCCACCGTCACTGACCTCCGAGCCTCTGGCTGTGGAGACACTGCTCCGTCCCAGCAACCTTTGCTGGTGCTCTCGGCACCTGCCTCCCTGGCTTCGGTGACACGTTCCCCCAGCCCCACTTGAAGCTCACCTACACTTGAAGCGCACCTTTGGTGCCTCTGGCCCCCAACCCCTGCACAGTGCCCTCTCGGAGGAGAATGAAGGAACTGGCAGTGCCCTTGGGCTGCGCTGGTGCCCAGGCAGGAGTGGTGCTGGTGCCATGGGCTGAGCCACCCAGGGGGCGTCTGCAGGATGCGTGGCTGCGTCCTTGGGGAGCAAAGTCATCATCTGGGGGTCAGTGGACACTTCCCCACCTCAGTGCCTGACGCCTGTGAACACGGGTGTGCGCAGAGAGCCGTGCCTTCCCCGTGAAGGCTCACGTGCCTTTTCATTCCGTGGTCTGAGCTTGAGTGTACAAATGACCAAATAGAAGCACAAAAAGAGCGCGGGTTCATGAGTTTGCTCATTGTTTTTGCTTAGCAGGGACCTAAGAATGGCTACATTTTTACATACAGTTTAGATGCCTTAGATGGGCTCTCAAATATGGAAGTGTATGAGGAAACATGACATTATTTACAAAGTTTTCCTTATGGATAATTTCACACGGGTTCAAAAGCAGGGTTTGTAGTGTCATGAACCCCAGGGACTTCGTGCTCCCAGAACGAGCAATGTCGCCGCCTCCCTCTACCCCACTTGTTTCGAAGCAAATCCTAGGCTTTCTGTTGTTTTGTCTACAAATATTTCAGTATCCCTAAAAAGTAAGATTTAAAAAAAAAGGACCAGTTTTGCCTTTTCATAAGCTTCCTATAGAATATATTCTGCGTTTAGATTTTTCACTCAACACGTTTGAGATTCATTCATATAACTGCAGAAATAAGTTAATATTTTGCAATGTAGTATTCTGTTAACGAAGAAAATTTGAGTTTTTAAGAAGAGAACCATATAACATAACCACTTGTGCATCTAAATATATTTCAGTAATTCTGTAACATTATCAGTTCAGTCAAATCAAATCTGTTGATCAAATTCCAATTCTCTCGGTTCCATTTGTATGTGGTGGGTTGTTCGTTTCGGGTTGGCTTGTTCAGACCAGGCTCAGGAAATACTTCCAATGTCTGAAAGCCTGCTTCCTGCCTGTTTGAAAAGGACACACAGGAGAGCCTTATGTTAAGAGCCGTTTCTCCTGTATTTTTAGGAAGTGGGTGAGTTTTGACCCATCAGCACCGTTTGTACAGGAGGCGGGTTTGTGGGGAGGAGGGTGGACGTTCCCCAGCCCAGCCGCCCAAGGGAAAGCTGGTCCTGTGCTACCCACCTCTTCTGTTTTGCAGAATTCTGCCTCCTACGAGGGAAGTGCGGCGGCTTTGAGCTCGAGAGGAGTGACCTGGTCTTCCTGGAACCCCTGCCCTTCAGAGAGTTTGCATTTAGGGACATGCCGGATGCTGGGCAGGGACCATCTGCCCCAGATGAACCACTGAGTGTTTTAAAACAAGGTACTGTCAGGGGCGGGGGGGGGGGGGGGCAGACTATGTTGAGCCAATGGCTAATTTAGAGCATTGTGCCCCAAGAAGCAATGGCTTCAGAAGTGGTGAGGTGACTCTAGTGACTTCGAGGGAGGCATTTGAGAACAGAGAGGACAGTGCCTCTGAGGCAGGCCTAGCCCACTCAGGGGTCCCCTTGGTCGGATCTTAGGGAACCTCTGGTCTTGGGTGCCACGTTTTGAGATGGGGGCTGAGAGCTAAGAAGTATAAGAACCTGGGGCCTGACATTTTCTTTCACTGTAACCACAGAAGCCGTGTGGACTACTAAGAATAGCTAGTCAGCACCAAGGAGAGAAAACCCGTGTTTTGCATGTTTCATTATAATCCGGGCTTCATTGCCAAGACAGGGCTTTGTCAGCATTTGCAAAATGTCACTTGGAGGCTCTTTACCCACATGGCCTGAAGCCTGTGGGGCCATAGCAACCAGGGAGGGGAAGGGGCGGGGACTACCTGTGACTTGCCTGCAGCAATCCCTTCTGCTCCCCACAGCAGGCTGTTACAAAAAGTTGGAGGTTTTTTGCGGGGTGGGGCAGAGACCGGAGTACAGTTTACAGAAGAAGAGATGGGCAAGGAAGAGGAGAGAGAACAGCTATGGAAGAGCCGAGCACAGAGAACTAGGAGCAGCTCAGAATACACTGGGGCTTGGAGGGTTGGGGCGGAGACTCACCAGTGGGGCTTCAGTGAGTCCCAAACCAGAAGATGCTTTTGTTTTGGCAGCAAAAATAGTGTTGGGAGAATGGTACCAAAGGCCTGCTCTTAACATAAGGCTTTCTAGTCTCATACAGGCCCCTCCTCTGCCTCCTTGAGATCCATAATGGGGTGCAGTTTTCCACTGCCACTTACACACTGGTGACATCGTGGGTCAGAACCACAGCAGCAGTGGTCCTGTGGCCTCGACCTGTGCTGCAGCCTTTCTGTAACTTCCGTTCCCATCAGTCCACCCCATAGGCTGGCAGTTCTAGTGAGCGGCGGGTGAAGAGCAGGGAGGCCGGAGTAGGGTGGGGGCTGGCCTGGCTTCGTGCCCTAGGATGCTAGAGGGACCCGGGCAGCCCTTCTTTCGAGGCTCCTATGAAGACCTGGTTGTTTCCAGGTTGTTACTAGGGCAGCATGTGAATATGTCAGTCATTGATGTGATACGCTCCTCTCCACAGGTTGTAGAGATACAACCCTTTGCTGGAATTTGCCATGAGCGTAGGTAGTACATTTACGTATTAGTATGTATCCCTACATACAAAAGCTTTTAGATTCCCACTAGACCTAATTTGCTAGAAGCTTCTGACTATCTTTAAAACAAACAAAAAATTATGATGATGATTCTCAGGGAGAAGCTGCAACACCCTGCAGAGGATACGAACCCCCAAAACGCATGGGCCTGAAAACCTGTTCTCCAGGGCCAGGACGGGTGAAGGAAGGAAGGATGGGCAAAGCGCAGGAGCTGGGTTTGCCGTGAAAATGGGGTGGCAGCCTCTCTGAAATGCAGGCATCATTAAAGGACACGAAATCCACAATGTATTAGAAGGGGTGAAAAATGATACAGTTTGGAACCTGCGTGGTTCTGAAGCACCGAGAACGTACTGATCGATGCTGAGCAAATCGGCCTTGATAAATTACTGCTATAGAAAGGAGTCTCAACGACTTTCCAGAAAAACTGATGAATGTTTAGTGCGTCATCATAAAAAAAGGTGAAGCCTAACAAAAAACGGGGCCGCCCTCTCCCTGTACTCATTCTATCCACCCTCCCCCGCTCCTTCCTGGTGGTAGTTGGGTTATTGAAAACACGCAGGGTGGCATTTAACTCAGTGTCCTTTATTTCTGAGTTCTGTACTGACTGTGCAGCTGGGAGTGTCTACGAAAGAACTGAGGACAATGAGCTATAAAAAGCCAGAGTTGCTGTCCCTGTTCTGAGACACGAAGGGCTGTCCTGAGCCAGGCGTGCTCTGCTGCTTTCACAGTGACGCTGCCCCTGGAGAGGGCTTTCCATCCCTTTGGACGGCTGCCAGAGCAGGAGCAGACAGCGCTGAGTGGTGTCCTTCAGGTGGTCCTGTTTGATGAGGAGTTGCTCGTGGTCCTGGAACAAGTGGTAAGACCGAGAGAGACATCTGGAGGCACAGTGTCTCCCCCTGGGCGTCCCGAAGATGTGGACAGGCCAGACCTCTTGAGACAAGGCTATGAACTGGGGATACCATTGCATTTAAAATGTTCCCGCCTCCCTTGATCCCTAAAGGTTCTGTTGTTCCTTACATCCAGGTCCTTAGTTTTCTAGCTGCAGAGCAGTAGCTGATGTCAGGAATCTAAGTGTGTATCGGTCCCCCAGGGCTGCTGTAACAAATGACCACAAACTGCCCAGGCTTGAAACAATGAACATTTATTCTCTCAGTTGTGGAGGTCAGGAGTCTGCCGGTAAGTGTCAGCAGGGCCATGCTTCCCCCAGAGGCTGGAGGAGCACACCCTCCCCTGACTCCCGCAGTCCTGGTGTCCCCTGGCTTGTGGCCACATTGCTCCGATGCATATTTCTTCCCATGGCCTTGTCCTCTGTGTCATCTTTTCTGTTCCTTAATGGACACCCCCACGTGGATTGCCCTGATCTTCTGGTGGATTTAGGGCTGACCTCAACCTAGGAGGATCTCATCTCAAGATCCTTAAGTACATTTGCAAACTCTCATTCCAGTAAGGTCACACTCTCAAGTTCCGGGTAGACACATATTTGGGGAGGGGGGCACTGTTGAACCCACTACAAGGGGGCTCCGTGCTAGAGTCTAGCAAGTCAACCTATTGTATTCAGAACAGATGGAACAGCAGGCCTTTGTGTATTTTTGTAGCAGGCTTTTCCGGGGAGGTTGAGTTCTTCAGCCGTTAGTTGTAGGAATGGTGAGGGACATGCCAGACTTGCGGCCCTGCTTCCCTGGGGAGGCTGGGGAGCCTATCAACCTGGTTTCTGCTATACTTGTGTTTTTTGGGTTTTGGTCTTTTGGTTTTTTTTATGCAGAGTTTGAACTCTGAGATTTGGATTTAATGCTTTATGGCTTCCAGGAAGCATTCACATTGTTTTTCCCTCTTGAAATTGGATTGTGCCAAAGAGCCCAGTGATGGAACCAGCAGTTGTTGAAACAGTTCAACCGCCTAGGACACCCACGTGTTCTGGAGGATGCACAGCTCATGGGAGGGTGTGCTAGCCCTTGGGAGAACACAAATATTAGAAAAAAAAACCCACTGACTTTTACTTCCTCAAATGTCTCCTTCCAAGAGGGAAATGTCAGGCAAGCACCCTGTGGAAAGAGCGTCAGCTGCCAGGGGCAGTGGGCTCCCGCTCACATGCATCTGGACGTGATGCTACAGTGGAGCAGGACTGGATGGGTGGTGCCGGGGCTGCCAGGGGAACCCTTGCTGGCAGGACCACCCACCTCCCAGCAGGTCCCACGTGGACTGATGAGGCCGCCCAGGGCCCAGTTGGGAAGGGGGCGGAGTGCCAAGTTTAAAGCCACTCCTCAGCTGTGTGTGTAGTCACGTGTTCCTGGCCCCTGCAGAGGGGCTGTCCTGGAAGATTCTACCCAATGGTTCCTGCATGCCTCCTCCCCTTGCTGCAAAAGAAGAGTCCTTGGGCAAGACTCGGTTTACTGTCTCTGTGAGGAAGTCCAAGCTGGTGGATTAGTAATTTAAAAACACAGAAAAGAGTGCAGGGTTAAAGCAAAGAACACATTATTGCTTTACTGGGGAAATGGCAAAGGGCAAGGGGCCCAGTGCGTGGGTCAGAGGACCCGGCCTGGCCTCCAGCTTCATCACACTGTCATTTTCCTCCCCTGCAGTGTGATGACATGGTCAGCGGCCTGCCGCCCCCACTGGCAGTACTTGGGGAGCTGAAGCCTCTCCAGAGGCAGAACCTCACGGCCTTCCTGCAGCTGGTGGGGTGCAGCATGCAGGGCGAGTGTCCAGGCCCACAGGGTGTGGTCAGCAACCAGAAGCTCTTTGCTACGGCCTACTTCTTGGTCAGTGCACTAGCAGGTATGGAAAAAAGAAACTTTATTCCTGTTGTTGCTTAGAAATTGCTTTGCTTATTACTGTGGAAGACTGGTACCTAGGGTTCCCCACCTTCAGCAGTGTGTGGAGGACAGGCAGTGGAGGGCTGAGGAAGTTTACATGGTTGTCATGAAGTCCCAGAGCTGAATGTGAAGGAAGTCTGTCCACAGCCACTCCTTCAGGGAGTACTTCTCTTCCACCACCCCCCCGGTCCCCACCCCAGAGGGCTGTCTGTGGGCTCACCCCTCCCTAACACAGAAGGCAGCTCCCCAGACACAGCCTGGCACGCACTCTTGAGCCCTGCCAGTGCTGAGTGGCAGGGGCTTTCTGGTTCCTCCTGTTCCTCTTTGTGAGCTCACCACCCCGGAGTTGTGGCCACTGGCGCAGGCAGGCTGCGGAGAGCTCCCGAAGCAGCAGGGTGTGGGCTCGGAGCTCCACACCTTCTCCAGCGCAGCAAGGCCCACCAGTGATGGCTGAGCCGGACCCTGTCTCTCCCTGACTCATTTCACTTAGTATAATGCCCTCAAAGTCAAGGTCCAGCCATTTGCAAAGGTTGCCAAAAACGACACAATTCTCCTCCTTTTTACTGCTTCATAATATTCCAATGCATATGTATACCACATTCCTTTATCCATTCGCCCACTGACAGACACTTAGTTACTTCCATCCCTTAGCTATGGTGCGTACTGCTGCAGTGAATGTGGGGGTGCAGATATCTTTTTGAGCTGGTATCTTCATTTTCTTTGGATATATACCCAGAAGTGGGATTGCCTGATGATAGGGTAATTGTATTTTTAATTTTCTGAGGAATCTCCCTGTTTTCCAAAGAGGCTGCAGTATCCCACATTCCCACCAACAGTACACACGGGCGTGTGCTGCCCTCCACATCTGTGCCAGCATTTATCTCGTCTTTGTGGTGACGGACCCATTCTAATGGGCGTATGCTGGTATCTTGTGGTTTTGAACTTCTGGTGATGGATGATTCATGTTGAGTCCCTTTTTATGTACTGCTTGGCCACCTATAGTGTCTTTGGAAAAATGCCTATTCATATTCTCTATTTTTTTATGTTTTATCTATTTTTTTAATTGGATTTACTGGGCCCTGGCTGGTGTAGCTCAGTGGACTGAGCTACAGTCCACAGGCTGTGAACCAAAGGGTCGCTGGTTCGATTCCCAGTCTGGGCACATGCCTGAGTTGTGGGCCAGGTCCTCAGTAGGAGACACATGAGAGTCAACCACACATTGATGTTTCTCTCCCTCTCAAAACAAATAATAAATCAAATCTTAAAAAAAATAAATTGGATTTACTGGGGTGACATTGGTTAGTAAAATTATATAGGTTTCAGGTATACAGATTTGTAATACAGCATCTATACACTGTACCGTGTGTTTGCCACTCTACATCAAGTCCCCCCCGCACCCTCTTCTACTTCCCACACCCCCTTTTTCCCTCTGGTAAGCACCATACAGTTCTCTGACTCTCCTCTCTTCGTTTTTTGCTACTGAATTGTGTGAGTTCTTCCTATCATTTGGATACTAACCCATTATCAGGCGTATGTTTTACCAATGCTTTTTCCTGTTTCATTGGTTTCCTTTGCTGTGCAGAGGTTTTTCAGTTTGATATGGTCCCACTTGTTTATTTTTCCTTTTGTTGCCTTTGCTTTTGGTATCAAGGTATCAAATCTTAAAAAATCGCCAAGACTGATGTCAAGGAGCTTACTGCCTGTTTTCTTTGAGGAGTTTTATGATTTCAGATCTTATCTTCAAACTTTTTGTCTATTTTCAGTTAATTGTGTGTAAGGTAGCTGTCCAGTTTTCCCAGCACCATTTACTGGAGAAGACTGTCCTTTCCCCCATCATATTCTTGGCCCCTGGGTCAACGCAAACGTGTGTGTGTGTTGACTTACGAGTGTTCTATTCTGATCCATGTGTCTGTTTCTAGGCCAAGGCCATGTTTTTGGTTGCTGTAGTTCTGTAACACAGTTTGGAATCAGGGAGTGTGTTCCTCCAGCTTTGTTACTTATTCTCAGGATTGTACTGAATCTGTAGAATGCTTTTGGTCATATGGACATTTTGAACAACAGTAATTCTTCCAGTCCATAAGCATGGAATATCTTTCCATTCTTTTGTCTTTTACATTTAATGTCTTACAGTTTTCAGTGTACAGATGTTTCCTCCTCTTGGATTAATTTACTCCAAGTTTTCTTGATACGATTATAAATGGTATTGTTTCCTTAATTCTGATAGTGTATTAGTATATAGAAACACGACATATTTTTGTACAAATTTTGCATCCTGCGACTTCGCTAAATTTATTAATTCTAACAGTTTTTTGGTGGAGTTTCTAGGACTTTCTTTATTTGCTTTACTTCTTCCTTACCAATTTGGATGCTTTTTAGTTGTTTTTCTTGCCTAACTGATCAGAGCTAGCTGTTGCTGGGTGCCCAGTGTAGCTGGTCTAACCCCTCTGCTCCTCAGGAGAGGCTCTGGGTTGCGTGCTCCCTTTCGACTATGAGTTGCCAAAGTGAGGGCAGGATTTACAGTGAGAGTGTGTCTCAGCTTTCTTACCTGCTTCCACGTGGGTTTTTTCTTGTTCACCTGATGTGCAGGATTCATTCAAGTAGCTTTTGGGTTTTTCTCAGAGGAAACTGTTCCACTGTAGCTGTCGGTTTGGTGCATCCATGAAGAGGTGAGTTCAAGACCTGCGAATATCCCCACATTGAGCCGACCTCCTGTGTTGAGTGCGTTTCAATGTCTTCAGCCCCGGCATGTGGTCTGCCTCCAGGACCACTTTGTGACTTTAAACATGAATGCCCCAGGTCTCATTTGTAAAACAGAGTCAGAATATGGAAGAGCCATCAAATCACTTGCATTTAAGAAACATTGAACAAGCTTATACTATGTTTAAGCACTGCTAGGTGGTGATGAGGTAAAAATCATCCTTGCCCTCAAGGCAATTAGAATCAAACAATAAAAATAGTTGGTAAACTGTAAAGCAGATGCCGTTCTTCCATCCCCGTGTGCCTTGTACCATGCCGGAAATAGTGAAAAACCACCTGCGTGACAGAGAACTGATGTATTTCCAGTAAGGGATGATGATGATTACCTGCGACTCAGGAGCCTCCCGAAAAGTTAGGAAATGGAAGCACGAACAAGTCACTGTGACAGTGGCCCACCCAAGACTTTCTCACATCCCAGGTGACTTTGTCTCTGCCCTTCCCAGCCCCATGATCTTTCTCCTGGGCCACCTACATATCTTCTTCTTTCTGATTTGGGATAAAGGCCTCCTTGAGAATCTGTTGAAAGCTGGGGATCCTTTCTGCAGGCAAATGCACAGACAACATTTAAATGCAACTTCAGGGGGTTCTCCAGCAGGATCATCCCTCAGAGCTGCACCATCCTTGCAGCAAGCACCTTCTGCTGGGTCCCAGCCTCAGTGACTTGCCCCTGTTTATAAATAAGGCTGCTAATGAGTGCAGGAGATGGAGTCCGTCTCCTGGGCCAGGTGACTCAGCCTGTGACTCTCTTGTTCGCCTTTGAGTTCAAAGGTTGTGTCTCTAGTGAGAGGGCCCTTTTGGCATCTATTTTGCCCTGGGAGAGGAGGTATTTAAAATCCATTTGGAATAACACTGACCTGGATTTTCTTTCCCCAGGGCTCGACAGGGTCGGGACTTCTGGTACAGGGGCCAGAGTTACACAGCTCTGTGCCAGCTCCCTGCCATTGGTGGCCTTTGTCAAGCTCGTGGTGGGCCGGGGCCCCATACAGTCCTGGGTTTATGAGGTGTGTTGTGCCATCCCTTTATCAGGCCACATTGCATTTTTCTCCTAAAATGACTAATGGGTTCTAAACCCAGGTCACAAATAGTTTACTCAGCTCTCTGACGTAGAAAAACAAAAATATCTATGGTCAATTGAGGAAACAGTCTCAGGTATATCCGAGGTCACAACCCAGATATGTAGTGGGGCCTACACATATCTCTTTTCATCAAATTTCCAGTTCTTTCTACTTTTCCAAGTCTGTACAGTTCTTCCTCACGGGCAAATTAAATGTCAAGAAATATCCTCTGTGAACACACAGATGTAGGAACCAGATAACCAGCTATTTTCTGAAATGCCTGTTTAGTACCATTCATTCACTCAATAATTACTGACCATAAACTCTCCTGCCCAGCTGCCTGGAGAGTACCGTCCAGGGGCTGGCTCTGTTCCCATAGATACTTCTGTTTGTTTTTGACAGTGACTGATTTTTGTCTTTTGCAGAAATGCCAGATAATGCAGCAGCTCTGCTGGGCACCTGCTGTAAACTCCAGATTATTCCTACGCTGTGTCACTTGGTAAGGAACCTTCCAGAAGGGACCTGGGGATGGGCAGGACTGGGGAAATAATGAGGAGCTGGACACCTAACAGTTGGTAAAGCACTTCTAGGCTTTCCCTTTCACAATAGCCCTTCAATGTAAGTTAAACAGGTATTATCAACTCTACTCTCTTATACCTACCTACACACACCTCACTTCATATGAAGACTGAGGCCCAGAGGGAAAGAATTTGTTTAAAAAACTTGCTAGCAGGGCTAGGACCTGAACCTTGTCTTTAGACTTTAACCTTGTACTTTTCTCATTTTGTGAAGAGAATTTTGGCCAAGCCCTGGTACAACACATCAGTGAGGGAGCCAGACCCGCTTTATTTCTCCCTGTACCAGATCCACCTGGCAGGTTCTCAAAGCACCTGCTGGGTCTCAGAGAGACATTTCATTCTCTCTCGGGACTGTCATTAGCTGTGTGGTCCCAGGAAGTGTCGGGGCTATAGCAAGAGTTGGGTAATGATGAGCTTAGCCCCAAGACTCAAGATTAAGCCTTTCCTTTTTAAATTACAAATCGGGTCACTAGTAGGAGCCATCAGTGGGCTGCCTAGAATCCACTCTGATGGGGCAGCTCCTCTCCCGTAGCCCCTGCATGTGCTGCTCAGCCTGGGGAAGACAGAGGAGCACAGCATGCAGGCCTGGATTATTTTAAGGGGTGGTTACTAAGGGCCAAGGCCAGCATGCTCTGTAGGACCAAAGCTCCCACCTCTGCATGCAGGTCTGGGAAGCAGACATTGGGGTAGATGGCCCAGCTAGGGCCCTGAAACACTGTACATCCCCCTGGGAGATTGAGTACTGTGGTCAGTTCCTTTGGTACTTCTTTGCCCAGAAAAGGCATCTGAAGACTGCAGCAAGGCCTCATTCCAAGGAGCAGTATAGACGTCATTCGTAACCCAAAGCAGATTCTACCCGCCCAGGGGAATGTGGATTCTTATACTTTGACCACAAAAAATGAACTATTTGGAAACATGCAGCAGCATGTGGGTACTGTGGCCAGCTGGGGGTAAAAGCTGCCGGTGTAGTTTGGTTATGGAAACAATATGTTTCCATACATCACAGTAGCTCTGCTTTGGCAACCCAGCTGTTTCACAACAACTGGTGCTTAGCATTTCCCAAATCGGTCCTTACCAAGTATTTACAAAGTCACCAACTGGATTCAGGAAGTATATACAGAATGAAAATACCACCAAGGTATTTACTTAAATACCTTGCCACACTACTTAACTCCCTCTCCCAGTAAACTTACACTTAGTTGTCATCTTCCTTGCACATCAGCTCAAGGATTTAATCTTTGTGTTGTTTCCAAGTCTGTTCACTGGTGTTTTAAAAAGAGCCCTTAGGACACACGCCGAGTTCCAGAATGGCTGGTATTCTACTTTGGCACAGAACTTCCCACCCACAGAGTCCTTTGTTTGTCTTCCTGGGCTGCTCAACACAGACAAAGAAAGAATTTTTCTTTAAAGACCTTCCTGAGGATCTTTATATAATCTCCCCTAGATATTGCAACAATTCTCAAGATGGCCAGATTCCTGCCTCCTGAAGGAATTCGGTATCATGTGTATCTTACGGGGACTTACTTAGAACAGGGTATAGCAATTTACCGGCACTTCTGTCTTACCTTATCTGGTGGCCAGAGTAACCTTGAGAGGCTTTCGAAGGCCTTTCGGGAGAACAGTGTTGGGCACATGAACACATTTGCCAAACTGGTAAAAGGAGAGTTAGAATCAGCAGACAATGTTAATCTCACCCCGCCACCCTCTGGGTGGCTGTAATCTCTTTTATACCTAGAAGTGCCTCTGGGCACTCAGGGTTGGCAGATGCTCAGAGCAGGAAGCTGGATGCAGCTCAGCACTTCTCCCCCCGAGCTGCTTGGCTGCCTTTGGCCTGTGCCGGGGGGGCCCATTCTTAAACTGCAGGATGTGGTGCTTACATAGCAGACCTATACACGCTCTAAAGCATAATCGATAGTTTACTGTCTGGGCCAAGCGGTAACGCTAAGCCTGTGGTGACACTGTGTGAGTTGTATGTGGTGCATCTACATGGTGTAGACTTGGAAGGCTGATTTTAATAATAGCCCCCCAAGTACTTTTGTATTCAAATGAGTGCTGCCCCTCAGCCAAGGGGCAGGCTGCTTGTTACTCCCAGTACGGTCACCACTGCTCTCAGAACTCTTCAGGAATCTTTCCGATCTCCTTCAGATCTAGTTAAAAATCATGCATACTGTATAGGCTTCATTTTTAATTTTAAATTTTACTCTCTACATTCCTAATCTGATCTGATTCTAAATACCTGTTTAAAAGTCAAATTTACTGGCAAATTTATAATTACTGAAGATTAAACAATAAAGTGCCACAGGTACCGACCAAGACCCCAAAGAGCCAAATTTCAAATGGTTTTGGTGGTTGCAGTTTGGGCAGCAGCCTCACTGAAGGACTAAAATTCATTCATCCAACAGAGCGAGTGTCTGGGTCGAGGCAGGGCAAATGGTGAGCATGACAGGTCACGTCCCCGCTGTCCCGGGTCGCTTAGGTCTTAGTGAACAGACTAAACAGTGACTGTCAAGAAAATAACTCAGATAAAGCAAGCATATGAAGGCAATACAACAACACGGCAGTGGCTGGGGTGGGGCGAGGCGAGGCCCTTCCGATGGGGAAGTTCAACTGATGGCTGAGACGCGGGCAGGAAAAGTCTACGCGGAACTCCAGAGGGAGGAGTCTCCAGGGAGAAGGACAAGGGCAAAGGTTCTTGAGGCAGGTGGCATACAATAAACTATGGCAGTTTACTTCCCTTTGAGGAGTTTGTGCAAATACTCTCAAATCGTCATTAAAAAAATCAAATAAGCCGTACACATTGTGTGTATGAGCAAGTTAAATTCTGACCTTTCTAATCTGCTGGCATCAGTGCATCTCTTAGCAGGTAGTTCAGAGAGTAGGGATGTAGACAGGGCTCCAGGCAAACTGGAAAAACCAGGCTTGAGGTTCTGGTCTGGGACAAATATATCTTGTTACAGCTTAAAGTTTTCCTGCTTCATCTGGGAAATGGAAAAAATATTTTTTCATAATTAGCTAGAAGTGTGTTATTAGCCAACAATGCAGATTTTCTCTAACACATCTGAGTGAAAGTTTAAAATGTGCCATTTCAGCTCCACGCACTGTCCACCGGTGGAGACCCTGATCTTGGAGACACAGCCCTGGCCCCTCTGAGAGACACAGAACAGTTTGGGATCGTGCAGCGCCTGCTTGCCACAGCCAACGTTACCCTGGAGAGACGACAGTCCTCTGTAAAAGCCGTCACCTGCCAAGTCCCTAACATTTCCCCACTCATTCTTTATATAAGCCTGAGTGGGCTCCATGCTTTAGGCAGAGCACGTCAATGACGTCACATCACACGTGAATCACGAGTACATGTCATCAGTCAAGGGCACTTTTCAGCATCGCTGAGCTACTACTACTTTGGGACTTAGGTCAGAGCCATGTTAAGTGTTGATCAAGTAAATGAATTTACAAAAGAGTTTAAGAAGTGGTGCCTGTGCAGGATGAGCCGCCACAAGCTCAGCCACCAGATGCTCTGTAAACGTTTGTTTTTCAGAAGAGGGCCTCCGGTGCTGGTGACCCAGCGTGCACGTTCAACTCCGGCCCCTGGAGGTCTGGGAGGGGGCTCGCAGCCCTACACCAGCATACACTTGGACTCTTTTCTCTGGAGAAAAATGGGTCCATCCATCACTTAATATTTCCTACTTTCTTCCTGTTACACAAAAACAGATGGGTCTGACACTTTGATCCAAAAACTCATTTTAGTTGTGAATGCTGGGGGGAGGCAATTTCTCTTCATAGAAGCCTACGTTCTGGATGTGCTGTATGCTCTAAAGTGACTGAAAAATGAGCTGTGAATGCCACCGGAGTACATGTAGTCTGCTAAATAAAATTATACTACAAAAATCTAAGAGCAGGCCACCCTTCCTTAGGGGTCCAGCATGAAGCATTTTATCTGACTTTGCCGTGCTTTGATGAACATACCTGTTCTAGGTCAAGAACCGTGTGCTGATTTTCCATGCATGCTGGATGTTTAATTTGTAAAATACATATTATATCAAAGGAAACTCTGAATGGTATGGATTTTGCTTTTTCTTGTTTCCACATCCTTCTACTATAACTAGCCTGGGGACCTGAAACCCCTCTTGCTCTCCCTTAGCAAAACGTGGCTGAGCTTTACTGTGACAATTTGTGTCACTTAGGAGGCAGTGGGGACGAAGGGCAGCGCTGTTGGAGAGAAATGTGTTGTTCAGCACATTTTTTACCTCACCATCATCTACTTCTCCCCTCCCTGCCTTTGAGATTTTAGTGAGAAATGAACCTTTCCGTCACCTCTGAAAAATGAGACTACCCTCATGCAAATACCTATGACGTGAGAAAAAAGGTTGCATAGCTGTACATTGTGGTGGCAACAATATAGAAAAGAAGTGCCGTACGCACAAATTGGAAGGCAACATGCAAAAGAAAAAGTGCGAAAATGCTGGCACAACTCGTGCCAGCATTTGTTTGGTTTTCTGAAATAAAATACATATAAGGAATACACTGTAGGCAGACGGGATATGAGTCTGCTTGTGGAAAAACTAGATATACGTGGATCGCCATGCATGGAAATCTCATTTATGAGTCCACTTGAAACCCAACAGTGGCTCCTTCGGGGAGAGGATTTAGAGGTTAGGGCAAAAGGCAGGGGAAGCAGGTGGTTCACCCTTCCATTCCTGTTAGAATTTTGTATATATTATCTTCTAAATAATAAAAAAACTAAACCAACACACACAAAGATACACCTCAGACAGAAAGATACCGTCCCAGCAAGTGTGAAAAGCTTGGGTCACATCAAAGAAGCGACAGGCATTTTAGCTGTTTCCACAGTTGCCCCAACACTGGCCAGTTACCAGCTGGACACAGTCTTAGGCTGGGATAGGAGTTCCCAGCCCCGGTTACAGCCGGGCTTCTCAGCAGGCTTCCGCTGGGACGTGGTGGGCTGGCAGTGCCGATGAGTGCGGGCGGCACTGGGCCTCCAGGAGTGTCTTCTCACTGGTATCTGTATCCTTAAATATGATTACTAATTTGAAATTAACCTTACTTACTGCTTGAGATCAAGAACCATACTTATTGGAAACAAGCCCTAACAGGCTAAGCAGAGTGGTATTTCCTGTGACAGAACAGGGCAGCCCCCTTAACGCTGACGTTTCCACGACCGCTGCTCTTCCATAAACGGACACAAGCAGCAACACTGACCACCTAGTGAGGTGTGGCCTGACGATGGCCTCTTAAAGGTGCCCACAACCTAGGAAGCCCTGGAACCTGTGAGCATGTTACATAATGAAAAAGAACTTTATAGAAGTTTTAATGTTAGGGACCTTGAAACAGACAAATTATCCTGGATTATTTGGGTGAGCCCTTAAAAAAGGGAGAAGAATCAGTGAGAGACCTGGCTGAAAAAATGCAGAAAAGATGAGGCATGACAAGGATTCAGTGCTGCTGCTGGCTCAGAACACAGGGGAGTGATTCAGGATGAGAAGACAGTCCATCCAACAGCAAGTAAGGAAGCGGGGACATCAGTTCGACAGCTGCATGAACCTGAAGTTGGCCAACAACCCAACTCGAGTCCCCTCCAGAGAGGAGCCTGGGCAGCCGGAGGCATCTCAACTGCGGCCTGCTGGGGCCTGTGCTGGGTTTCAAACCCCCCAGAGCTCAGATCAGCCTCGTGTTAAGCTGCTAAATTGTGCTAACTTGTTACTGGGGTGACAGCAAATTGACAGGTAGTATAAGATAGAGAAATGAACTGCTTAAATCCTCATTTAATGTCATTGAGATTCTGGGAAACTGCAGCTTTAAGCGAAACATGGAACAAAATCATTTTTAACCATAAGCTGATTAATATAAACATGAGTCAAGACCCATGCGTGAAGTTCTTACGGCATATTTCTGGTCATAAAATCAACACCAAACTTCTAAATAAAGACCCAAAATACTTCTAATATTAAACAACGAAATAGATGTGAGCTATAACAAGCATTTATGATGATAAAAAAAAGTAAGAGAGCAATTTTCCCACCTGATAATACCAGTTCAGGGTCACAGATGGCTGAAGTCTTTCCAGCACCACAGGGCACAAGGTGAGACCCACACCAGACAGGACGCCCTTCCTTCACAGGGCCACTCACCCCACACCTATATGCTCTGTCTGGCACAAGTCAGGCGCGCCAATTAATCCAACATGCCGTTTCTGGGATGTGGAAGGAAACCGGAGTTCCCAGAGAAAACCCACGCAGACATGGAAAGAACAGGCAAACCACACACACAGTGGCCTCAGCCAGTAATGTTTTCCTCACATCGTTAGAACGAAACAACATTAAACAAAACTGACGTTATTCAAGGAACCGCTATATATGAATCATGATTCTTTTAGAGACACCAGAAATACATTCATGCAGCAATTTCTTAATTATGAGGTGGAGTCCCAGAAACCAGCTTGGGAAAGAGTATCAGAGTACCCTTTCTGGAAAGAGGTTTCCTGCACTCACCCAGTCACACCTCCATCTCCTGGCCAGCCAGGTGGGTCCCCTTCCCCTCCTCACCACGGGCCTCGGGGCCGAGCTGTGTGCCGCAGCAGACTTGTCTTTCCCACCACGGTTTCTCCTTCTTGGGTGGCTGGGAAATGGCCCTAGTACCATCCCATGCCATCTAAGCAGAGAGGCCTTTTCTTGATCCTATATTTTAATCTTCTCTGTCTTCGATGTTCCTCAAGTACATTGTCTGAAAGCTTGGGCTGGTGTAGAGGAAATAATAGTTAGGGTTTCCTTGTTAAACAGGAGAGGCAGGTGGAAAATTTACACATTTATCTTGGTGGGAAAAACTAAATGACATCAGAGGGTTTTTACAAAAATGATTATCATTTAAAAAAAGGTTCCAAAGCTAATCTCATATCCTCTGTATTTTATTATTTGAAAGCCTCAGTTCTACTTATAAATAAAACACTACATTTTTCCAATATTAAATATTTATTTCTTTTTACATACAAAAATATTTTACCAGGTGTATGCAATTTCACAGATAGATCATTTCAATAATTTTTGTTTTGGACAGCACATGAAAATGTGGAAAAAATTTATAGGGACAGTTTTCAAAAAATCAGTACTTAACTGTACTACAGGAAAACTTTATTTATATAAGGATAGTTTCTTTTACATAGGAATTAGCAATACAATTACTTGGAAAGCAGTAGCAATTTTTATTTTTAAATTTTTTTCATCAGAAACTTACTTTAGCAGCTTGTTCAGCTTTGATTTTTTTTTGGTTGCTAACAAGATTTTGTCCTTGCTTAAAAAAATTCTACAATCATTTCATAGAGGTTAAAAAGAGCATGCATTTGTGCTCAAAATAAAGATATACCAAAATGAAATGGAAAAAAATCTCCCAAAGCAAGGATTTTACAACAAATACTCATCATAGCCTCTAACAGAGCTTAACATATTATGCAGAAAATGACATTTGTTGCCGAACCCTAGCGCTCACTCATCTACAGCAAAATCCAAGATACCGCTTCCTTGACAATCAATGCTACTGAAGAGACTGGAGCCCTCTTTAACACAGCATACAGCCAGAGGAAATACTCATCCTGCATTTCCACCACAGATGGAAATGAGCTCCAGTCTGGTTCTACCTGAAAAGGCATGGATGGCGTTCCTCCCTTGGACCACGTTCACCAGAGCAACTTTCCTGTGTTCTGAACAATGTGACTTACACTGCTGCCCGTCTCTCCTCTTTAAAGAGGAAAATCACATATTTTAACTGGCAATCTGGTAATGACTTCGGGTTTAATGCTGGTAACTTACAGCTGAGGAGTTTTTAACGCTATGCATTTTCCTCTTCCTCCAAGCTCTCAAGTCACCTTGACTGGTATGAGGAAAGCAAAATTTCAGGTATGGCTGTCAGATTTGTGTTTCTACCCATGGCTTGCTGTTTCTGAAGTACAGTAAAGACCTCAATTCCCAACTTTTAAAATAAGATCTTTGGGCTTCTGCTCTATGTAGCCTGTTTGCTGGGACTCTAGACAGGTTTACAAGCACTCAGTGATTCCGTCACTCAAGTTATAAGCAGCATTTATGTTAGCTGTAGATGTGTTCATTCAGTTTGTGCTGGAGATTAGAAAACAGTAACAGTTAGCAGTTTAAAAAAAAAAGAGAGAGAGAGAGGTGTTGTTTCTGACTGACTTTGGTGTGTGGAGGCAGGTTAGATTTACCATCACAGCACCACATTATCAGCCAGCCAACAGCCATGGGGAATTAGAAAGGGAATGTAAAAAGCATTCAGATTAGAGGTCCACCAGAAACAGACACCTTTTAAACTTTATACAATACTATCAGTTAGACAATATGGGCTATGGTGATCAATTTCAGGCATTAATAACAGGGTAGGGCAGCTTCATGGGGCAAACAAAGATCAGTGTGTCTGCTGATGTAATAGAGCACTGGATTGCTTACTAGTCTGACCTGTGACTGGTCTGGTTGGACTTGGAATGGGATTCAAACTAAAATGGACCATCTGCCCAGGGCCACTATGAGAGCAAAACATACCCTCTTCCAGGCTGGAACTACGTCCTCAGAGCCCAACATGAAGATAAGATTCCTAAATGGTGTGCACCATTTACTGTTACCTCTGAAAGATGTACACGTACACTTTAAAAGAACTAAAAATAATTAACCTCAGTGTAAGCAAATAACATACAATAAACAAATAAAGTAGCCTAATAAAGACTTTGTAGTTTAGCACATCAGAGTTCCAAATTACTTCTTGTAATTTAAACTGAAGACGAATGTTAAGTTAGCCTTATTTAACAAATGGAATATTAAAATTCAAGAGATATACAAGTTTTACCAAAGGTCACATGGTCAAGGGTCAGAATTATATCTCAGCTGGAAAGAAGTATATCATCTCTATTTTTACCAAAAGGGAGACTATTTTAAAGAAAGTAGTGCAGTGTATTGCAAAAGTGCAAACTATGCTTTTAAATTCTTACCTTAGAAATTTGAGATCATCATTTCCTTTACTTTTTGGTGGATAAGGACTCATTTTTGATTCTGTGCACTAAATCATTCCAGGAACACAGGAAGTAACACAACAAATTATGGGGTATTTTTAAATGAATAAAACTTGAAGCTAACAAAAATGCATTTAAAAATAATCTTACCTTAAAAAATTATAGAATTGTTATCTTCCTCAGGAATACAATACATATTTACATAAAAACTGATATGTTGAATTATTAGTCAATGGTATTCTTAAGTCTGTAAATAATATTCACTTGTACTATATAAAATAATCCTATCATTTAAAATACTGAATTCGTCCCCAAAACTTAAAGTATATTACAGATGTTATTACATGGATTCTCATAGCACATCCTTTGAAACAAGAAGAGGGCAGGTAACACAGTCTCTAAGCATGAACCGTACCCTGAATTCATTAGAAGGCTTAAATAAGTATTTCCCAAGAGGTTTTCATCTAGGACTCTCCTTTTTTCCTTAAGGAAATTAAGTTATAATGACAATTTTATAGGCTTAATATTTCACTGATTTATCAAAAAGGAGATTGGATTCTGACTCAAGGTAAAAACCAAAGCCCTTTTAAACAATGTGAAAAAAGTTCCAGAATGTACAATTGGGGAGTAATTAAAAATTTAAAAAGTTGAATTAAAAGACGTTTAGAAAGTAAAATAAAATTTAAGAACACTAGTTATAATTACATGGGTGAATATATTTAGTTTTATTATTCATGTATTTTGGAAGAATTTTACATGTTATACACATAGCTTATATATATATTATATATATGGTGACTCAAACATTTAAAAAATGACCTGTTGTCTATATACATAAAATTTTGGGATTGCTTTTTCCATATTTAGTATAAAGGCTCATTACTACAAAATTACTGGCTCTCTAGCCTGTGGTTTCTGGAACTTGGAGTGTTGTTTCAGAGGCTGTAAAAGCACACAATGTAAGCAGATCATTATTTTGACCACTTTTCAAACTTTAACAATTCAAAATAATTGCACCTAACTCCATGGCTATCCATCTTGAAAATCAACCTCAATCACGATCATGACACTTGATATACATAAAAAATAAATACCAATTTCATAAATTTTTAAAGTAAAGATCACCTTTTGTTATTGGGATATTATGGTCAAAGTATCTAGTATCTGGCCATAATTTATAATGCCATATTATTGTATTTTTTTGCTAGTTTGCATTTCCTCAATTTGTATTAATAATCAACTTTCTCTTTTAAGGAAAACTTGTCCTTCTAAGCAATTACAAATAAGTTTTACTAGCTTCAAATCTGGGGTTCAGGTTACTATAGCTGTAGTCACTCTGGGTTTACAATAACAATTTTTTAGTAAGCTATGTTCAGCAACTGTATAGTTAAGGTTAGCAAAAATAAATCAAGTCTTGAAGCATTGAATATTTGCTATTACCCAAGCATCAAATAGAAACTGAAACTGCAAAATGAGGCCTGGCTATAATGAAGGTGAAATTCTACTTATAGCTCTTCACATATACGAGGTCTGTCCAGAAGGTATCCAGCCATGGAACATGAAAAACAGAGACATTTATTGAAGAAGATAAAAGAACCTTTGTACATAGGACAATGATGCCTCAGTCCCCTTCAAAGTAGGCACCTTGGGACCTCACACAGTTCTCCCAAACACCACCAGCTGCCCTATCATATTTTTCTGACTCTCATCCATGGTTGGAAATCTCTTCCCTTTCAAAGGTGATTTTAGTTTTGGGAAAAGCCAGTAGTCTCAGGGTGCCGCATCTGGGCTGTAGGGGGACTGAGTCACTTGGGTGATTTGATGTTTCACCAAAAACCTCTGCATGAGATGTGATGTGTGAGTGGCTGCATTGTTGTGATGAAGCTGCCAATCAAGTTGCCCATAGCTGTGGCCCTCTGAATCATCCTGATAGTTTCCGTGGAGGAATATTCAAGCTTAATGCAAAATGTGATGCAGGTTTGTTGTTCTACTTCCTCATTTTGAATGTGGCAGCCACACAGTACACACGCTCACTCAACAGCGTCTACCAGCCCCACTGACTGTTACAGTGAAGTTGACATTGCTCCTCATGCACTTTCCAATCCACTCTCCTTGGCTGCCAGGTTACATTAATGTTGCACAAACTGTTCTCATTAGATAAACGATGGCTGGACTTTTTCCGGACAGACCTGGTATTCCACTAGTTAAGGTTAAATTTTAAATTATTTACCCAGAGATATCACCTCTGGGTATTTGTACATCTGAATATATATATATATTTTTTAGTTGTACATAAATAGTCATGCCCTGAATCTAAATGCAGATACTCACCTGCCCACAAGGAATGGCACATCATGTTTCCCAAAAGCAAAAGCAAGTGTGTGTGTACTGTAAATATTACCGACTGTTAAACATCCCATTAAACCATGCTCTCTTCAGTTAAACTAATTACCTTAGCCGTCTCCCACAACAGAAGCCCGTGATCACAACCGTGTTCTCACTGCTGTGGGAGAAACTCTGGGCCGCTGGGGCTCCTTGACCAGCTGAGCTCTGCTGGTTCCTGAAGACTCAGATGGGACTTGAGTTTCAAGTTCAATTACTATTTATTGAGATACAACGAACTTTTCTAAATGTATTTTTTTTCAGTTCTGGCATCTAGTCTGAAATGAACTACATCATTTTATTTCATATTAGGAGGGATCCAGTATGTATTAACTAAGTAGTTAGTGATGAGTACCATTTATAATAGGAATAATTCCTTTATGTATTGACTGTTTTCTAAATAATATGCATTTTATACTACATGATACAACAAAAAATACATATGATGTAAAAATCATCTCTATTTGCCAAGACAGTTGAAATATTTGTAGATAAACTGTTTGTCCACAAATCCAAAATGTCTACAAGAATCCCAAAGTTGTTCAAAGATGAAGGCACACCAGAGAATGTGGAAATGAAATTTCTCATAACATTTACAGTGTGCTGAAACACTAAGTCACAGGACATCACCTCAGCACTGTGCTTTAACTCATGTTGCTCTGAGAAGCCAATACTGTGATGTAGTATAGGAGGTTTAAAAGGTACCAAAGTTACTAAAAGAGTGTGATCCATTTTGCCACCAATTTCCTATCCTAGGACAAAGAACGTGAATTTGTGTTCTGGATATGAAATCTGGAATTAAAAAAATACTTATGGACTTTCAATCTTAACAATATAGCAGCTTGAGAGTTTTGTTTCATTGTGAAAAGACTTAAAAGTGTGCTTACTCCTCATTGCCAGGCTTTTTTTCCCCACTCCAGCACCCCTGCTGGCATTCCCTGGACAGCTCTGGTGAGGGAGATACAAATTCAGCAGCCAGGTGCCTGCCACCTGACAAAGACAACCACCCACATTTAAGCACCAAGCCCTATAAATGTGAGTACTGTTTATGTGAAAATCTACAGCATCAATATAAAATGTGGCTGACTTAGTTTAATGATGAGCTGCATCTGAGTACACTTTAGCAAGGATTTATACCATATAAGAATCCTAAAGGAAGGTATTAGCTAAGGTGAATTTTGGAAATGTGTACATATTAATGCAGCTAGAGAACCGTTTTCCTAATCATTAAACAAAAAAAGTGCATTTCCTTACAGAAATGTAAAAAACCCACAATGATTTAATATATATTATATAATATACACAATGTACATATTATATAATACATATGTTATATATAGATAAAACAGCTGACAGTTACTTCCAAATTTTAAAAATCATTCAGTGGATTGGGTTCTCAGCACAACGAATCTAACAAATACCTTAATGATCACATTGTACTTCAAAAAGCACACTGATTGTTCAACAACCCCTTCAAACTGCAAACTTAGAGGCATTTTTAAGGATCACAGAAATATGCGGAAGCATAGTACAGTTGCTGACTATATCCTAATAAAAATGTGTCTAAGGAAGTAAGTTCATTTTTATCAGTTAAATTTTTCCCTGTGAAAATAAGTCAACTGTGCCATTTCACTGTAAGGTGTTACGGAAGGCACTCTCTGAGCCTGCCCCGCCTTGCTTGCTGTGTACATGTTAACTTAGTATTAGCCTGTCTTTGCAACAAATGAGAGTGCAAGGTATTGCTCTTCCTTTTTCCACTGAAGTTAGAAATGAGGGGGAAAAACACCAGCATGTCTGCATAAATCAGAACGGACAGCCATACATCTCTGAAATAACAAAACCACGCAGCATTGAGCAGACTTCTGATGTCAGATTTGGATGGTAAAAGACTCGCTGCAGCACTGACATCGAAGTTCTTCTTCTGTAAGGAATTATATTAGGAAAGAAGGCCAATCACTATTTTCTCTTTTCATTAGTTAAATACTGGACTAAATGACAACTCTACAAAACTATTTCAAGTATTTATCATCACAGTGAAAATGTGAGACCAATGTTCGAATGAATGAGTTGAAAATTCCTGATGAAAAAGGCAAGGGTACTAAAACAAAACATACAAAATGCTTCAACGCATTTCTTTATGTGGTATGAATAGATTGTCCATAAAAAGTTAGAAAAATTAAGATAAATTATATATTAGTACACCTTCCCAACCACATTTTCTATAAAAATTCAGAATGGTGTACTGGTATTTCAATCTACACAGTAAAAATGCCTGGACTTGGCAGGTAGCTTCTATCTGCACACAAATTTTCTCAGTAGAAGGTTTAATTGTTGTAATCATTTTCTAAAAGTTGGATTTTAATTGTGAACCTTATTGAGTCATCAGTAAACCCAGCTGATGGGGACCCACTGAGGCTCCACTCTCAGTTTCTCTATGGCAGTTTGTAGCTTTTCAAAGGCTTTGTCTAGATTGTCATTTACGATGATCAAATCGAAATAGTGGTTGTACGCTCTTTGAATTCGTGCACTTTCATCCACTGTTTTCTTCAAGTCAGAGTCCTGTGGAAAGGTTTTAAAAGGAAATGTTTTTATTATAATGTATATTTACTTGCTCAAACACCAACTAGAAATGAACATAAAAATAAGTATGTTGGATAATTTTTACTGTGATTGTTATTAATTCTTAAAATCAAATCTTTATAGAGTGTCAAAAAAGATACTACCACCTGCTCCTGTATTCACCTTTCCAGCTATGCTCATGTTCTCATTTACGAGTATTCTGCATCTTCTGTTGCTCTGATATTAGGGTGAGATTCCTAATTAAAAGGCTGCTGACAATAACCTTAGGGTAAAATCTATGGTAACCTATTTTTATCTTATGGACACTAGATCACAGAACCCAATTTCTAGTGGCTATTAAGCTCCAAGCCACATTTGCTGACTATCTCTAAGAAAGAGAATCTTACAAATGTGTTTTCATTTATTTATTTTTTTAGCTAGCATTACTTATATTTCACAAAATATTTCTAGTCATTTGGGAATGATGTAGGGAATACATAGTAACGGGTTCTGCGTAAGGAAAGCTTTTCATTAAATTGCAAGTGTTTTGAGATTTTACAATAATTCTATGAGTTATTCAGATATTTATTTAAAGATTTTTTAAAAACCCTCATCTAAGGACATGTTCATTGATTTATGGAGAGAGGAGTTGGGGGAGAGAAACATCTACGTGAGAGAAAAACATTGATTGGTTGCTTCCCTACACATGCCCCAACCAGGAATTGAACCCACAAACTTCTGGTGTATGGGATGATGTGCCAACCAATTAATCAACCTGGCCATGGCAAATATTTATTGAGTTTCTATTAAAGTGTTTACTGTGTTTTATTATTTATGGCTATAACAATGAATAAGACAGAGTGGGTTTCTACCCTACAGTGGATAAGACAGATAAAGGGCAAACAAACACAAAAACCTGCAAGCTTTATGAAGTACTACAAAAGAAAACAATCAGGAACAGAGTATTTTAAGAGATCTACTTCAGATAGAGCGATTGCAAAGACACAAAGTAAATGACTTTCAAACTGAGAACCACGGTGGGAGGAAGAGTCCTCTGGGCAGAGGAAACAACCATGCAAAATCCAGGAGGGAAATGACCCTGATGTGTTTAAGACACTGAAAGAAGACCAGGATGCACAGAAGGCTAGGGGGGAGCTGTGTAAAAATTTGAGATGGGCATGGAATAGGTCTTAAAGGACCTAGATGGCAAAAGTAGGTCTACAGTTGTTTGTATGGAAAATAAAACAATGATTAATAAATAATGATATAAGAATAAACTCTGTTTCACATGCTTACAACTAACTGTAAACCTACTTTTGCCCACCCCTATATGTTGGTGATAAAATCATCAGGATGAACTAATGTGCTGGATGTGAAAAGTGAGGAAAATGAATGAATTGATGATTCTTTTGGGTTCCTAGCTTGAGTAAATGGGTGTAGAAGATGCACAGTTGGCAAGTAGGGATGGGGAGAATGTGATTTATTAGGGAAGCAAATGTTCTACCTCGTACCTGTTAAAAGTTAATTAAGTCTGTGAAACATCCAGGTGGAAATGTAAGTAGGTGATTGGTTATGCAAGTCAGAGCTCTGAGGTCTGAGTTACCTGTATATAAATTAGGAATCATCAGCATAATGATAGTATATAAGTGAATATAAAGGAAAGAATAGAGAGAGAAGTGGATTCCCAACTAGGCCTGAGGGCCACTAATACTTTTTGTTAATACTTTTCACTGAGATTCCTAAATATGTTTGAAAAACTTAAAATATCTTTTATTTCAGATCTGTAAACAGGCCACGGTTCAACTTGAAAAGAACACTTAACCTATTAAAGCCATTAGCAAAATGTCTTGTTAAAAAAAAAATCAGGCCTTGGATGGGTGGCTTGTTTAGCTGGAGCATCCTCCCACACACCAGAATGGTTTATACCCACTCGGGGCACAAACGAGAGGCAACTGATCAATGTTTCTCTCTCACATTGATGTTTCTCTCTCTTCCTCTCCCATCTTTTCCCTTCTCTCTAAATCAATGAACATATCCTTGAGTGAGGACCAACTTCAATAAGCTCCTATTGGTCAAAGATGGGACAATCTGACTCAGTTCATAAGTTATATTAATGTTTAACCACTATGCTGTACACTTGAAACATAATATTAAATATCAACTCTGAAAATTTTTTTAAAAATTTAAAAAGATGGGAAAATTTGAGCATCTATGAGAATAGTAACTGCAATTACACATCAAATGAAAATCCATGTGTTCATAATGAAATCAGAAAACAGCCCTTGCTGGTGTAGCTCAGTGGATTGAGTGCCTTCCTGCAAACCAAAAGGACACTAGTTCAATTCCTGGTCAAGGACACAGGCCTGGGTTGTGGGCCAGCATCCCATTTGAAGATGTGACAGGCAACTAGTCAAGATATTTTTCTCCCTCTTTCTCCATCCCTTCCCCTCTCTCTATGGATAAATAAAATCTTAAAAAACATAACCCAAACCTTATTTGATCACCTGTTGCCTGTGGAGGCTGTTATGGAACAAGCCCATTATTCTGAAAACTGGCCCATAAAGAGAAAGAAAGTATCAAGTATATATCTTGACTTTCCTATAGAACTCTACTTCAGAGCAATCAACTAGTTGATGAACAACAATTATATATTTTTAGAACTCTAGTTTATAAAATCAGAAAGAGTCAAAAACTTAGAATATTACCAACTTACAATGCCTAAAAACATAGTAACTAACCCAGGCAGACCAATGAAACCTGCACAAATCATTAGGTGAAAAACTACTGGGAAACTTTACAGACCAGACTCATACCACCTGAACCCACTGATTAATATTATCACAAAAAGAGAGATAGCCTTTTTCAGATACCTAAAAATGTAACAAAGCAAGTATCACTTGTTAATTATTCTTGAAAAAAGTTAAATGGAACCTGCATCTGATTGAGCCTCTCTCAGTTCACAGGAAATACAAGAAACAGAGGAGGAAAATAACACAATGGAGACAGAATTGACAAAATTCCACTCAAGAGGATAAATGATGACAATTTTTTAAACGACTAAATTAGATTAAAAGAGGGGAAGAGGAAGGCAGTGAGAATTTAAGATTAAAAGAGACTAAAGGGATGTCTGCTTTCAGCTATGAGGCACGAACAGGAATCAGGCTAACTCTCCTGCCTGACCACTAAACCAGACAAAACGTATGGAACAACAGTTTTTTAAGACATCATGAAACGGGCCATGAAAGAGAGATCCCAGGGAGACTGGAAACAAATGAAGTGAGCCCTATGATCAACCCCAATTACTATCCTGAAAGAGTTTCCAGAAGCTGCAACACGGCGAGGCATCGCCCAGAGGGAGCCTATTGGACTCTCTAAGTTGGGACAGAGCTGTGAGTCCAGGGAGACCAAGAGTTTGCAGGACAGAATACCAGAATGGAATAGCAGAGCAGAGAGAACTTCAAAGACCTGCAAAAGGTCCCCTTCTAGCATGTGGCCAAGTACCAATTGTGAATGTGTACCATTACCCAAGTCACCAAAGAGCCACCAGAAAGGCTGAGAGGTATTCATCCTGAGCCAGGAACAGGACCTGTTCCTACCAGGCAGAACGGAAAACCCAGTGATGCACTGGCCATCTGGAAGAGTGCTCGAATGGTTTTGCTTCAGTAGTGGAAAACAAATGCCCTGAGAATGAGAACTGCTCTGGTCTTACCTAACAAATTTGATATGCAAGACCTGAAAGAACAGACTAGTTCCAAATAACTGCATCCTAGAACAAAGCTCATGCCTGGCATCCAATAAAAAAGTAAGAGGATTACAAAGAAGCAGGAAAATATGACCCATCCTGAGGAAGAGACATTCAATCAAAACCAACACAGAACTGATGCAAATGTTAGAATTAGTCAACAACATGAAAACACTTATAACTATATTGAAGCTATTCAGAAAGTGAAGTATAGACATGTAACCTGAAAAAGAGCAAAGAGGACTAATACTACCTGATTTTAAGACTTAGCAGCTACAGTGTAGGGAGAGGTAGAAGCAGCAGGAGGGAGGGACTGTAAAGGGGCCCAAGGGAGCTTTTGGAGGAGATAAACATGCCCGTTACCTTGACTGTGTGTCAAGACTGCATGCAGGTATACATATGCACAAACAAGTTGTACTCTGTCAACATGTATAGTTTACTGTATGTCAATTACACCTCAATTAAGTTGGGGAAAAAAAGATTTAGAAGACATCAAGTAAATGCAATGTACTGATCTTATTTGGATCTTGATTTGAACAAAGCAACTATAAAAAAGTTATAAATTTTGGGGAAATTCAAATAAAGATTGTATATTGATGACATTAAGAAGCTGCTCTTATTTTTTACATGTTAATGGTGTTATGGTTATTTTGAAGTCTCTGTATTTTAGAAATATATACTAAGTATTTATGGTTGATATGATATCAAAGATTTGCTTCAAAATAATTCAAAGTATGTGAGGAAGTGAGGAGAAGTATGATTAAAACAAAGTAGCCATATATTATTGAAGTTAGGTGATGGGCACATGGAAGTTCTTTTTTGTATTTATTTTAAAATTTCTACAATGTGAAAAAAGAGAGGGAGAAGAAGAGAAAGCATGTAATAGAAACTAAAATGTTAGTGGGGCCAGTTTCCTCACTAGTAAAATAACGGGATTGGATTAATATGAATGATTTAAGACTGGTCCATTTCATTTACATACAGGAAGTAAACATTTGTTTTAAAATAAAGTGAACAATAATTTTTACGTTAATACTGTTCGAAATCCTAACTATATCTAGTAAGTGAATCTTTATTCTGTAATACCTTATATAGTATGTTTATTTCATAAGTATGAGTATATAGAATTAAAACATGCTAAAAAAAAAGGACAAGGACAAGTTGTAGGACGAAATAATGTTGTTAGCCTGAAAGAACTGCTCACCGTCAAAAGCTTGGTAGTGATGCCAGCATCCACTACGGCTTTGTGCATGGCACGTAAAGTCTCTAGTTCTGGAGCAGCAATGAACACAACATAGGGCATGAACTCCGATGTCCTCAGTACTTTCAGGGCCTGTGTAGGAGAAAGATTATACACCAATGTACACTGGATTAGGATTTGTATTGTTACCATTTATTTACTAAATAAACAAAGTCTATCTGCCCTCTTCTGAAGGATTAAAGATATAATTTAACACTTGACCCACTTGTATCCTTTTGATTCTATAGAATACTTTCCCCAAACAGTGATCCATTAATTGTGTTCTGACCTGTCTTACTACTCTTTGATCCTCTTGAACAAAGGACAGCATTAAACTTAATGAATGACCCAAAAGTCATCAAGAATGATGTAAATGCATTCTATGTGTTAACTGCAGGATTCTGTTAATATTTAAAAAGCCAGAAGTTAATCTGTGTCTATTAATTGGAGAGTGGTTATATAAATTAATATATATACACATTATGAAATACTAAGCAGCAATTACGAAGAATAAAGAAAGCTCTACAATAACTGACATAAGAAGATCTTCAAGTAAAACTTCTTAATGAAAAAAAGCTGAAGAATTTGTATAGAATTTTCCTATTCATGAAAAGAATCAACAAAAATAGAAAACCCATTACATTTTATATGTGCATATGTTCACATATATTATATTTTTAATTAAGGCATATTAAAAAGACATAAAAATAAACACCACACTCAATATTTATCTCTGAGGAAGGAAGTGGCTTTGGGTTAAGTGCAGAGAAGTGGGAAGGGGTTGGTGAATGAGACATGAATTGCAATGAGTATGAAATGAATGTTTATGTGTCTGTGTTGGGTGGGAATGGATGTGACTTCAAATTTTCATTCTTTTATTTATGTATTTTTTGCTACAACTAATTCTTTTTTAAAATTTTTATTTTATTGATTATGCCATTACAGTTGTTCTATTCCCCCCTTTCATTCCCCTCCACCCTGCACCCCTCCACCCCTACCATTCCCCCCCTTTAGTTTATGACCATGTGTCTCAAGTTCTTTGGATTCTATATTTCCCAACACAGGGCATATTCTTGCCCTCCCCCTATCTATTTTCTACCTACCATCTATGCTACTTATTTTCTGTACCTTCTCCAGACTTCTCCCACTCCCCTGTTGCTAACCCTCCATGAGATCTTCATTTCTCTGGTTCTGCTCCTGATCTAGCTGTCCTTTTAGCTTGCTTTTGTTTTAGATGTGGATGTTAATAACTGTGAGTTTGCTGTCCTTTCACTGTTCATATTTTTTATCTTCTTTTTCTTAGATAAGTCCCTTGAACATTTCATATAATAAGGGCTTGGTGATGATGAACTCCTTGAATTTGATCTTATCTGAGAAGCACTTTATCTGCCCTTCCATTCTAAATGAAAGTTTTGTTGGATAGAGCAATCTGGATGTAGGTCTTTGGATTTCATGACTTGGAATACCTCTTTCCAGACCCTTCTTGCCTGTAAGGTCTCTTTTGAGAAATCAGCTGACAGTCTGATGGGAACTCCTTTGTAGGTGACTGTCCCCTTAGCTCTTGCTGCTTCTAGGATTCTCTCTTTCATTTTAATCTTGGCTAATGTAATTATGATGTGCCTTGGTGTGTTTCTTCTTGGGTCCAACTTCTTTGGGACTCTCTGAGCTTCCTGGATTTCCTGGAAGTCTATTTCCTTTGCCAGATTGGGGAAATTCTCCTTTATTATTTGTTCAAATAAGTTTTCCACTGGTGGCTGTTCCTTTCCCCCCTTTGGTACCCCTATAATTTGGATGTTGGAGCGTTTAAAGATGTCCTGAAGGTTCTTAAGTCTCTCCTCATTTTTTTGAATTCTTGTTTCTTCATTCTTTTCTGGTTGGTCATTTTTTTTCCTTCTGGTCTACTCCTTTGATTTGAGTCCCAGTTTCCTTTCCATTACTATTGGTTTCCTGTGCATTGCCATTCATTTCAATTAGTTTAGCCTTCATATGTTCCTCTAATTTGTGACTAAAATCGACCAGTTCTGTGAGCATCCTGATCACCAGTGTTTTGAACTGTGCATCTGAAAGTTTTGCTATTTCTTCATCACTTAGATTTATGGGCTCTGGGGCTTTGAGAGCTTCTTGAGCCATTTTTGGTCTGTTCGCGCCCATTGAGTATGAGGAGTGGAGCCTTAGGGGTGGGGCAGGGCCTCCAGGCCACGTGGGGTCGCTGGGTTGTGATGCTGTATGTGGGGATGGGGTCAGAGCCGGGAAATGGCGGCCCTCTCTGCTGCCTCCCATCACTGGGACCCGCTGGTCCCGTCTCACTGCCCACTCCCTCGCCAGTTTATCTGTGCAGGAATGCGCCAGCACAGTCAACCCGCCGCCCTTCACCCTCGCTGGATCTGCTGGTTGCTCACTGGGTCAGCCCTTTTCAACCCCACGCCTGGGATCCGCTCACCTGAGTCTGTCTGACTGAGTATTCCTGTGCAACCCTGCTCCAACAGCTGCTGGTTTCGCCCCTCTTACTGGTCAGGCCGAAGCATTCGTTGTTATCAGACTTCCGAAAAGTTCAATTTCCTGTGTTCTGGCTGTGTTTTCTGTTGCTAATATTTTGTTGTCTCTAAACTTGGTTGTGTGAGAAAGCGCGGCGTCTCCACCTATGCCTCCGTCTTGGCGGAAGTCAGAACTAATTCTCTATTTATGTATTTTTAATTTAGAAGATTTTTTCAATTACGGTTTACAGTCAATATTATTTTGTGTTAGTTTCAGGTATATAGCAAAGTGGTTAGACAATCACACACTATACAAAGTGTTCCCCCTGATATTTCCATTACTCAATTGGTAGCATGAGTAGTTATTGCAATATTATCAACACTATTTCCTATGCTGCACTTTACATCCCTGTGACTATTTTGAGCCTGGTTTAAATTTTAAACTTAGTATTTTCTAATGTAGGCATTTATATATTACTTGGGCAAGTAAATAAATATCAAATTTCTATCAAATTTCTAGTGCTTGACTAACTGATCAGAGATTTATTTAACTTATGTATATGCATAACATGGTTCTCTATCACCAACAGGTAATGGAGGGAAAGAATTACCTTCACAATCTCAAAAGAATACAAAACAAAAACTCCACAGGAAATAAAATTTAAAAGAAATAGCTTTGGAATCCATGTGGCTTACTTGTGGGTTGACATCCAAAATGCAAGTTCGTCCAGTTTGGACAACCTCAAGAATAGAATCAATCTTGGTTCCATAGAGATTTCCTTCATATTCCCCATGTTCCAAATATTTTCCAGCTTTAATATCTGCTTCCATCTCAGAACGTGACACAAATTTATAAGCCTGGCCATCTTTTTCATCTTCCCTTGGTTTCCGTGAAGTAACTAAATAAAAGAATGTTGAGAATTTATACAAAGACAGTGCAGGATATTAGAAAATAGATTAAAATGAATAGGGTTGCTTAAGCTTTTTCCATTTAGTGCCTCTGGCCAAATTTTGGCCTGCTTCTTATTTTTTTTGTAAATAAACTTTTATTGGACAAGAGCTACGGTCATTCTTTTTTTTTTTTTTTAAGATTTTATTTATTTATCTCTAGAGGGGAAGGGCAGGAGAGAGGGAGAGAAACATCAATGTATGGTTGCCTTTCGTGCATCCCCTGCTGGGAACTGGCCTGCAACCCAGGCATGTGCCCTGACTGGGAATCGAACCGCAATCCTTTGATTCGCAGGCCCCCGCTCAATCCACTGGGCCACACCAGCCAGGGCTACGGTCATTCTTTTTATCACCTATGCTTCCATTTGTTTTCTGCTGGCGGGGTAGTTGTGGCAGAGCCTAGATGACCTGCAAAGCCTGAAATAGTTACTATGTAGTCCCTGAGTAAAACAGTTTGGCTGATTCTTGACCTATAGGAATGTTTTAAAAGGTAGTCCCTAATATGCAATTTGTCTCAAAAAATGTGCTTTAACCAAAATATAATTACCTGGAAGCAGAATCCTATGTTTAAATTCTTAATTATGGGAAATCACAGTAAGTGTGAGATTATGTTGTAGGGGAGTATCTTTTCCAGCTGACCAGCGCTCCCCTTCTCCTTAAGAAATATCAATTTTATCCTTTCCTTACAGTTTAACATTTCCTAACTGAGTGTCCAGCAACTGAGCAAAGTTCTCCCATCCTTAGTTAATTAGTATTATCACTTTTCTGAAGTGTAGTTTTACTCACAGTTATCTATCCTTCATCTCATCTCAACACCTTTATTTTAGCTTCCTGCTAATTGATGTTCTAGACATTAATCTTTCTATTTTGTACTTTAGTGGTGGAAATAGCCACCTCAAAGTTATTAAGGTCTATTAATTTTCTGTACTCTGATATGATGTATTTTCTTGCTGAGAGAACAAAGACACCAAGTAAAAGTTTAGAGATCCCACTGTATGAAATTTTAAAGCTCTAATACTTCCAGAGACATAAAACTCCTCTGCAACTGGGCCTTGCTAAGAATGGACTATTATCACCTTTCAAACTGTTGCAAAAGTGCAAAATTCGGTAGTCTCTGCCAACTTGTTAACGGTGGCTTTGAAGAAGAGAGGTAGAGTATGTGCATGTGTGTGTTGATCAAGTTTAGCCTTAATCTGAGTTTAGCTGGATCAGTATTAAAAAGTTTTCAACTTCTAATCAAGTACTTACACATACAAAATATCTGAAAAAAAACCACTAAAAACACATACAATTAAAATTAGAAAGTAATACAGATTAAAAGTTGATGGTATTTTAACTATTTGTAATAAGCATAACACATCGAGAAAACTTTTATAAGAACAAAATGAACTTCAAACTCAAGCTCAATATTAAGGGCCCAATTGGTGAGACCATTATGTACAACTGGACTCCCTTTTCCCCTTCTGTTTTCTGGCTCAACCTTGACAGTGATCATCTCAGACCAATGCGCATGCATAGTATTTACAAAGTAACTTAAAGATATTCAAGGTGTTAAGATGATGGCTTTTTATAGTCAAAACTAGGTGATCTCTAATGTTTCTAGAATTATCCACCAACAATGGTATGATATAACTTCTAAGGCAATTTAAAACTCCCTGGATAAATAATACCTAGGACTTGGCTCAGTATCTGTGAACATAGTTTTAGAAGAGCACTACTTTTTTGGTGAAGCTCTACAGTGAAACCATGTACATGGGATTGTGCTGCTTGAAATACGTATGTATAGGCACACTAGTGCTCCCATTGCCATCTCAGCATGCTGAGGCAATCTTAATTCCTGGCCAAGATTTTTTAGTTTGCCAGTGCACTTTAACTACACTCCTATCCTGTACTGAACAATTGAAAAACAAAATGAAACAAAAATTATACTGCCACATATTAAAGCCTCTTTTCATTCCTAGAAAAGAGAAGCTACAATGAGATGTCACCTCACACCTGTCAGAATGACTATCATCAATAAATCAACAAACAGCAAGTGCTGGAGAGGACATGGAGAAAAGTGAAGCTTTGTGCACTGTTGGTGGGAATGCAGACTGGTGCAGCCACTGTGGAAAACAGCACATAGTTTCCTCAAAAAATGAAATATGGAACTGCCTTATGACCCAGTGATCTCACTTCTGGGAATATATCTGAAGACACTCAAAACACTGTCAAAATAATCTATGCACCCCTATGTGCATTGCAGTGGCATTTACAATAGCCAAGACTTGGAAGTAGTCCAAGTGTCCACCAGTAGATAAGTAGGAGAGGATAAAAAAGCTGTGGTACAGCTACACAATGAAATACTACTTGGCCATAAAGAAAGAAGGAAATCTTACCTTTTGGGTCAGCATGGATGGTCATGCAAAGTATTATGCTAAGTGAAATAAGTCAGTCTGACAAATACCATATAATTTCACTTATGTGTGGAATCTAATGCACAAAATAACCTAACAAACAAAATAGCAACAGACTCATAGACACAGAGAACAGATGGACAACTGTCAGAGGAAAGGGGGGCTGAGAGGCTGGGTGAAAAAGGTGAAGGGATTAAGCAAAGAAACCAAACAAATAAAACCCTTGAAGATACAGAGAACGGTACAGTGATTAATAGAGGGAAAGACGGATAAGGGAAGGAAGAAGAGGGTAAAGCAGGGATATGTGGTGACAAAAAGAGACTTGACTTTGGGTGGTTAACCGCAATATATAGATTATGTATTACAGAATTGTACACTTGAAACCTATATAATTTTATTAATCAATGTCACCCCAATTAATTCAATAAAATTAAAAAAATAACCGGAACATTCATTCGTTGCTGAGAGTGTAAAATGGTGTGGCTACTGTGGAAAACAATGTGGCAGCTTCTCAAAAGTTCACACACACTCACTGTGTGACCTACTAATTCCATTCCTACATAGTACCTGAGAAAAACAAATCACGTATGTTCACATAAACACTTGTATACAAACATTAATAGCAGTATTCATTATAGCTAAAAAAATAGAGCAATCCAAACGTCCATCAACTGATAAACAGCTAAAATGTGGTGTAGCCATAAAATGGAGTATCATTTAACAATAAAAAGTAACTAAATACTGCTACCTCCTATAACATGAATGAATCTTGAAAACAATGTTAGGTAAAGAAGCTTATTACAAAACACACATATTAGATAATTACATTTCTGTGAAATGTTCACATAGGCAGATTTATTGTGAAAGCCCACTAATCCTCAGCACAATGAACTAAAAAATATGTACACAAAGGCATATCATTAAATTTCAAAATATTGAAATACAACAAAATATAACAAAAGACTGAATATTTGTGAAAGAAAAACCAGATCATATATGAAATAAGAATTAGAATAACATTGAACTTCTTTACAGAACTGATTCAAGTAGTCTTGTGAGTTTTACAATCCAGAATTTCTATTCTTTGCTAAATAATCAATCAAATACAGGGCAGAAAATATACATCTTCAAGTCCAACAATGTGGAAATTAATCCCATACATCATTTCTGGTGAGGTTACGAGAGGATGTGTCCAGAAAAACAAGGCAATAAACTAAGAAAGAAGAAGATGATGCAGGAACAACAGCTCCAACCCAGGACAGGAAGGAAGAGAAGCGACCTCACTGTGGGGGCAGCGGGGCAGCTGGGAGAGACAGCACGTGGTGCTCCCTGAAGTGAAAAGCCTGAGGCTTTTCACTGAGAGAGACCTCATTGAGAGAGAGGTCGCTAAGAAAAAAAATGACTTAATAAATAAGTCTTTAGTTTAAAACAAAACTATATACACATTAAACCAAGGTAAGAGAAGAAAAAAGGCTGTCCCAACGATTGCTGGGCGGGAGAAGAGGCAGAGGCTGTCCAAGAAAGTAACACTGAATTAACTGAAGCTAGAGCTACCTTTACATTGGGAGGTTGTCAGGAAGTCAACAGAAGAGGCCTGCACTGGATAAGGCAAGAAACAGCAGAATGCAGACAATTAAGAAATACAGAAGACTACCAAAAGAAAGAAATAGCAGAAAGAAAAGCAACTGTTTCTGGTAAGTAGGCCTAAAGTGGGGGTAGAAGAAAATGGCTATTTTTTTCCATTAAATGTCCTTAAGAACTAGTTAACTAAACTACTGTACATGTATTAATTTGATAAAATAAAATACTTTAAAATACTTAAAATGCTTTGACCAGAGTGAGGTTTTCACGACTACAAAATTAGGATCTGTCAGAGTTTAGTGATTTACAGTGTCTACAATGAAACCCAAAGCCTTACCCCGAGGGGATGATAAAAAAAAAATAGCACCTGGGGGCAGTGATAAGGTTCCTCTCCCAGCAACCCCTAAGGGGTTTAGCAATAATATTATTCACTGCAAATTAAACCTCAAAAAAGGATGAAAATAGAGAAACTCTAATAAAATTCATCTAAAAGAGATGGAGTAACATTAGGCTAAGATTTGACTCAGAAGAGTTTAAAGGCATTAAATTAATATGCCTAAAGAAATACTGTGTTAGTCAAAATAAGGGGGTTTGGTCAGCAATACAGGCACAGAAAGGAGACTTACAAAGGCAACACTGGCCTGCCTCCTGCGTTCTTTAGGGGACAGAGCTGTAAGTTCCCACAAGTCTCATGGATCCTTACAATAAGGACAAATGTGTATTAGCCCTTATCATAAGTCAATGGTATCATCTAACTCTTTGATCTAATTCCATTCTCATCAAGCATACTTCTGACATCATTACTGAACATGTAAATATGAAAATAGGGAAAAGAATGCAAACATCATGAGTGTTTGATTCACTTAATGGTAATACTTCCCATCGGTATCATTTTATTTTGTACATCAATCTTTGAGACCTTAGTTAATGCTGCCTGCTCTGGAAGATGAATCACTCTTGATGCGCTATCAAAAATCAGGCTTATGATCTTGCAGGATCACATAAACTAATGAAGGGATTGCCACAGTGAGAAGTGTCTGAGGATCCAGCAGGTTTCTCTCTTTTCTTTACACTAAACTGGGTGAAAATACAACTTCAATAGTAAAAGAAAATACAAAGTTAATGCTGACTTTGCCACAACTTTCAATGCTTGTATTAACTAACATTTCTGGACTGAGGAGTTCGGAGAAGTGACTGCTACCAGGCATCAGGCTGACAGGGAAATGGTGCTATTTCAAGACAGCTGTATTTTTCAGTATCTTCTATTGGTTTGTTTTCACTGATATAATAAAAAAATTGGGGGGAATAAAGATAATAATAATCTGTCCCCACAACATTTTCCTGCCAATTAAATAGCAAAAAACCCACAAAACTTACATGGCACTGTAGTTCCAAATCTAGTGGGATTCAACACTATGAACCTGTTTTTCAAGCTTCTTCGTCCCACACCTTGAGCTCCTATTAATACTAATGTCTTTCTTTGGAAGGGAGGCATTTTGGCTACCTCCTCATAGATCTGGATTTCATGACGATCAAATTCTAAATGTAAAAGGAAATGGAAAATGTCACATTCAATTGCCTTTTGTAGGGACAAAAAAATCTGTTATTCTGTTCAGTAATGTCTTAGTTGTCTTGATAGTTAAATATCATTTAAATTGTATTCAGTACAGATTTATTTTTATTAATTGGGTAAAGTACAAGAAATTATATTTTAATTTAAACATCTGCTTCCATCCACATGCTCTTAAAATTTGTCTAGCCAATCTAGAAAAATGTCTGCTTCATTCTTACCAGATATTTTATTCATAAAATCCTTTTTTTTACCAACTCATGTATAGAAATAACTCCTTTAAAATAAATAATTCAGTGACATATACTTTATATAATTTATTCAGCTAAACAATGTGTATCAGCCCTGGCTGGTGTGGCTCAGTGGATTGACTGCTGGCCTGTGGACCAAAGGGTCACAGGTTCAACTCCCAGTCAGGGCATATGCCTGGGTTTTGGGCCAGGTCCCACTGAGGACGTGCGAGAGGTAACTACACATTGATGTTTCTCTCTTCCTCCTTCTCTTTCTCTAAAAATAAATAAATAAAATATTTGTAAAAAAAATCAAAGCCTTGAAAAAAAAAGATGTATCAAATATGGAGGACAGCAACACACCTAGCATGGCTGCATCAATAAGTTCTTGAATAAATACTGTCTTAGTGATTCTGCAAATATCAGTTTGCATGTATTTGCATTTATTAATCAATACAATGCATGTGGGAAACTGACAATTATTAAGATTCTAAATTTATGGATAACATATAGGATCCAAATTATTTTCAGTAATGCAAATTATTACATTCCACAATTATAATCTTATTCAATAGAAAAATTACAAATTTCCTATGTTGTAAAAAAGCTTTAACAATGTATATTTAATGACTAATAAGGCTAAACTGAGTTTGAAATATTATATTGCCATTATTATGGCTATAACTCTCAATCTGTAGTAATAATACTTTTTTCTTAGGTTATTTTAACAGCAGCTCTTTTGAACTAATATTAAGGGAGAGCCTATTTTCTCATTATTATATTACTACAATGTATTATTATATTATTTCTTTTATAGTACGCCATTTTGTTTAATACCAGTAAAGAGGCAGCTCTGAACTAAAGAAAGTACTTTAAGATGGACAATTCCTTTGAGTAAGTTTCCAGAGCTATGTTTCACTCCTATCAGCCTCTAAAAATGAAAAGAATAACTATGGTAGTTGTCATATTTAACTTTCCTTAAGTCTAAAAGGTTTAAGAAAGAATCCTAAGAGGGTAGACATGTGTTTTTCATTTTTATTTTATTTTGGTGTACAGGACTACACTCTAACCAGTGAAGCCCCCTGGCCTGGGCAGATGAGACGAAGATTTGGTTCAGTACTATTTTCCCAAAAGTATTATGGGATTGAGGCTTTTCCAAAAGCCTCAATCATAACTTTTTTAATACCTTCATAAAGGCATTTTGGTCTTTAGAAATGACACATAAATTACTATCAAAGTTCTCTGAATGAATAATTTCAATTATAAATTGCTCCTTTATTAACACAAGCATAAATGCTAACCAATTCATTGTATTGTAAACTATTCTCATAAAATAAAGCACACTGGTGATAGTATAAACATATATAACATTAGGATTTAAATAATGTCTTTATATTATATTGTACTATGCATTCACATGAATTGGGTACTAATCTGAGTTATATTCATTGAACATTATACATTTTGATCTTATGCCACACTGATTAATAATATAAAGCTTTTTCACTTAGACTTCTCATGAAGTATTGCAAACGTACCTGCATTTCTGGTTGTAAGGTACATCATCTTTTTCTTTTTTTTGCTACTTATGGTTCCACAAAAAGGTCCTGAAGGATGACAAGACAAATATAACCTAAGTAGCATGTCAAAATATGATTAAATTGCCCTGTGGTTTTCTATAGGAGTGGAAGAATTATCTCTACAGTGTTGCATCTAGCAGAAGGGGGCAGCTGAGCCACTGAATTCTGACACCACACCAGCAGGTGGCATAAAGGGATCAAAAGTTTATGTTTTAGAGTGATACAATAGAGCAGATGGGGATTAATTTTAGATATATATTAAAGTAATTTGCTAATTCAGATGAAAGAGGTAAAGAAAGGTGGCCACAAAGGATGATTTGTTACTTATTGTGTAGCTCATCACCTGAACTGTCCCAGTCTCTTCTAACAAATGCCTTTCTCTTCTCTTCCAGGAACTGGCTTGGAATGAGACCAGCGCTTCCTCCCTCTTTTACATGGCTAGCCTAGAATCAAATTAATGAATTGTGTATGTCAGTGACCAAAATTTGAGACGATATTCTAAAAAGTAGGACAAGCAATAGTCAGTAAAAAAAGAAATACCACATTTGCTCTTAAAAACTGAGACTTAAATCCACGGCATTGTCAAATTATTTAAACACTTTAGCACTAAGGAATCCAGTGGTACCTAATCAAGCAATTCACCCACCACCTGGTAGAAAAATTTGGGGACCAAAAGACAAAAGTAGACAGGCTCTTCAAACTTCTAAAACTTTTTATTTATAACACCAAGTTAGTCAAGAATGGAAAGAAACAAATGCTATTCCGTGTGTTTACAGGACATTTCATCTAGCATCCTTTAGTAAGATATTTTCTACCAACCTTAATCCTACCATGTTGATATTTCCTGAGGCCACATCACAGAAAGACAGCAGTGGGAAAACAGAGTGGAGCTTTTAATTCACGCTATCGGCAATCTGAATATCCTCAGAAGTAGTAAGTTTAAGGAGGTAAAACTTCAACTACTGTCAAGAAACTTTTAAAATAAAATCCAAAGAAGTGCTGGTAGTGGGAGAACTGGTTACCTAGTGGCTTATTCCACAAAGTCAGTGACTTTATTCTTACAAACCAGCATAAAAAAAATCTGGTACATTTTTAGCAATTACAATCCCAAAAGACAGAATTAAAGGAACAGACCACAAAATGCAGGAAGAAATCGAGATAATGTGAAAGAATTAGACAAGAAAACTAAGAGATGGCATTCAAAAAGTCAGAAAATAGAAAATGGAAAAATTCAATAAAGGACACAGCCACAGAAGGCAGGTATTTCAGGTGACCAGTCTAAGAAAATCAGTGGAAAGTTGCTGAAATCATGAATTCTATTTCTTCGTTTTCTAACCAATTTGTACATATTGTCTTACTGTATTTTTTTTAAAAGATTTTATTTATTTACCTTTAGAGGGGAAGGGAAGGAAAGGAGAGAAATATCAATGTATGGTTGCCTCTCGTACATCCACTGCTGGGAACTGGCCTACAACTCAGGCATGTGCCCTGACTGGGAATTGAACCATGATCCTTTGGTTCGAAGGCCTGCACTCAATCCCCTGAGCTACACCAGCCAGGGCCTAATGTCTTACTTTAAATTTAAGGACATCCTAGTAAGATTGTTCTCATTCTTGTAATTCATTCCCCTGAGAAGTCAATATAACTTTTTAGAACTAATTACATTACTGATATATCAGTTTAATTTAGAGTTTGGTGCTGAGTCCCAAATCCTTTTCTCACAGCTTGTTTTTTAATGAGACTCTGATAGCTTAAGGAAATTTAAACTTTCGATTTCCTAGTTTCTCTGGTTCTGAACACTGTAGTTGCTACCAGATGCAAAGGATGACAAAAACAGACTTATGGCTGCTAGGGATTTCTGAAAGCTGTATTAAGGGAAATGGGAAAGAACACCATCCCACAGATCTGGAAAACCAAGGGGACAGAGTACAGTGATAACACACATCCTGTTCCATACACACAGATTTCCATCTACAATCAAAAACACACTGGTGATACGGCATGCCTTCACTTCTCAATAAATGAGAAGAGGTAGGCAAATAGATTTAAGAGTTAAGAGCTTAAAAAATTGTTTTCTTTGCCATGAATGTACTCAGAGGAAGGGGAGACAAGAGAAAGACTACAACAACCACAAGAAAAAGAACTCCTGGTTAAAACAAATAAAAACAAACACTGAAAAGGGATGACCCCGAACAAGTTATTCTTACCTAATTCTCTAGCTTACTGCAGTTACCCTAAACCAGGGATGGCATCACAGGCTAGTTAATCCTGCATTTATTAACAGCTACTCACAAATTCTCTCCCAATTTGGTCTTTTATCCATAAAACCAGCAGCCACAAAGCAGGAGCTATTCATGCAAGAAGAAACACTGGAACAAATGCTAATAATACATCTTTCTAAAGATTCAAATACTGGTCAGGTCTAAGACTGAAAATAAAAAAGCAGTTGAGGAAATTTTGAGAAGCATACTAACCTGCCACCAGTTTGGATCTTCTCTGTTTACAATCTGAAGAATTTCTCCTTTTGAAAATTTCAATCCTGCTTCTTTGCAGGGTATTAGGTTATCATTGTATGGATTATAATCAAAATGACACTTCACAAATACCTAAAACATAGAGAATAATTTAAAATACTATAGATTATCATTTGTCACTGAATGCTTGAAATCTTTTGCAAAACACTTGAATTTCATTGTTATTGACAATGTATTTATATATTTTTAATCCTCACCCAAGGACATGCTTTTTGATTTTAGAGAGAGGGTAAGGGGAGAGAGAAATAACGACATGAGAGAGAAACATCAATCAGTTGCCTCTTGTATGTGCCCTGATCAAGGATTGAACCCACAACCTAGGCATGTGCCTGGACCTGGAATTGAACTGGCAACCTTCTGGTTTATGGGAAGATGCTCCAACCAACTGAATTACACAGTCCAGGAATTTGACAACATATTTAACACTTCAACCAAGGAACTTCTCTGTCTTTCAAATAAAAACTAGATTATTGGGACATTAGTAATTTGGTATCAGAAAAGAAAATATGAAATAAACATTAACACCACATTAAAATTTTGTTTCTATTTTAATGTCTAATCTTAAATCCAAAGTTTGACAATCATTAATTCCACCTTTCTTTTCACATAAATTTCCAAACAAGACTGCATAATTTTTATGCAGGCAAATGTTACTTCCTAATTAACATCCTGAAACAATGTATGCAGTTGATTGAAGGCATATATTTCACATATATTGGGACTGACTTTTTGAAAGCGCTCTGAAACCAAAATTAAATAATAAAAGCTCATGTTGAAGATGGACTGAACTATATTTAGTAACTTAAAAAAAAATACCAACTTTCATCCCTGTTAATACTTTTCTTTTTAAATCACATAGACTTACACTGGCCAAAACTAGTGTGGAAAATACTTTTCTGGAATCATCTTGCTCTAATTTTATGATGGTCATTAAACTAATTGTAAGACAAATACTGAAAAAGGCTTGAAACTACTTTAAATTATCTTAACTATACAAATTTCTTTTAAATCTGTCTATCAATAAAGGTAAGTCAGTTATCAGTTAGTTATGATCTCCAGTATCTAGAATATTTTGTTTACTTCAATTTTAATTCTAATTAAGCTAAGAATTTTCAGTATTTGATAGCAAGTTCACACATAATTTTTCTTAAAACAAACTTTTCATGCATCTTTATAGAAATTCAAATTTTATCTTCTAAAAAACTGATTTAGCATTAATCAGCAGGTAAAGTGCACAATCAGTCAAAATAATGTTATTTTTCTATTTGTTTATCATACACCTATAAATATAACCACACCAGATATTCAAATAACACACATAAATACCTTATTAGTGTAGTATAATATAATGTGATGGATGCATATTAAATGATTTAAAAATAATTAAATTTGGGAACATGTGACCAAATCTTAGTTTTTCACAATTAGATGATTTAAAAAAACCATTCAGAACATTTTCAACAACTTTAGAAAGGCTAAATATTAATGTTTAAAAAAATTAGCAAGACGATAATTTTTTCTGATATACAACTTTAGCTATATCCAAAAAAGCAAGCATACAAATAATATTAAGATAGCCTAAAATGTGACAATTGGCTAACTTGACAATGACATGCAGCTCAATGATTTGGCAGTGGAGAAAACCCCAAATGATTAAGTTCAATCAAGGTACATTTAGTTGGCTGGTGAGACGGAAAAGCAGAGTACCAGAGACTGTCCTGGAATGACATCATACCTGATGGGCGTGTGCTGGGTGCCTCTCCATTTTGATGCAACTCTAGAAATATATTTTTCATTGTATAAATAAAGCCAGGCTTTACAGTGATAATAAATCAACAAAATAGAAACAAACTACTGGCTGATTTTATTACTTCACTCATTTGGTAAAGCAACTACTTCCCTAAATAATTGTCCATACAGTATACTATCTGAAAATCATAGATGATAGAAGCAAAAAGTCAGAAAAGTTTGAGATGAGGCAGAGAAAAGCATGGGCATCCAAAGTTGTAAAAATACTAGGAGACTCCTTACTTCTCAAGAAAGCTGCACAGATGAGTAATGAAAGCACCATGTCATCACCATGATGATGTTTCTAATTCTCTGTGGGACAGACTATGTTTTGTAACCACAAAGCTCAGGTTTTCTGAGTTTGTCCAAATTCCAAATATTCATTCCCCAACTCCCATCAAATTGTTCTGAAAATGCATTGTTTATGGAACAAAAACCATACCTTTCAAATGTAAAGGGTTTCTAGAGGAAGTAATTTTTATTTTTTCACTTATTAAATTAGTTTTGGAACATTACTTTTATGCTAAAAAACTCAGATTAAATTGGCCTCACTTTTAACTTTGAAAATTTGTATGAAAGAATTAATGAACCCAATCTCTGATCTAAACATTTTATAATAATCTTAAAATCATTAGATATTTGTCTAGTATAATCATATTTTATTAAGTACATTTTAAACTGTTTTACTAATAGGCTATGGATATTAACTGGTCATTTATTATTAAAATGTTTCTAAACATAACCTAACATATTTCAATCTCACAATCTTATTAAAAGAAAGATGTGAATGACTAACAATCTAAAGTAGATGGAAGAGAGAAAGAGAAGTACAAATGGCTTTTAAATATAGGAGGAGATGTACAACCTCACTCAGAGTAGAAAAACGAATTAAAACTATATTATGATAACACTTTGTTCCTGTCAGATTAGTGTAAATACAAATACTTGAAATACCAGGGCTGGACTATGAGCCAACAGTCTTTCTTCTAACAGGTTGGTAAAAAATACTGGTTCAATCCCTTGGGAGGACAATTTGGCAATAATTTTCGAAATGACAAATGTAGAACTCTCTGACCTAGCAATCCACCTCTGGGAACATATTCAACGGTAATGTTATTCAGATATATATAAAGTGACTTATGAATAATACTATTACCTACTAAATTATTACTAGCTGGAAAAGGTCAGACACACCCGGATTACTTAACAACTGGGAACTAATTAAATAAATCTATGTAATGTAACACTATGCAGATGTTAAAAAGAGGAGGGGGATGTATTTCCACAGGCAGACTACGCACCAAAAAGGAAAGATCTTCAAGATAGTGTGGCTAATTAAAAAAAAAAAATGAAAACAAAAAAACAAGGTTCAGAGTGTGACACTATGTAACCTTTTCATAAAAAAGGAGGTAGAAGGGGAAAAGAATATATAATCTTTTACTTGCATATGAATAAAGAAACTCTGGAAAGATAAATTAGTAGCATGGTATCCTATGGGGTGAGTGAGAACTAGATTAGTAGATTAGGAAGGAGGTTTCAACTGAAAACAAATTTCTATTTCTTGAATTTTGAACCATGGGAATGATTTCACTTATTCAAAACTTAAATTTCTGTAGTAATAAAAGATGAAATGATTCCTGCTTCTAAGATGAAGCAACGAGAACCCCCAACCTAAAACAACTAAAACACTGAACAAAATATGTGAAACATTTTTCAAGACATCAGACAATGAAGATGCTGATTCCTAAAATGCAGGAGCAAGATGAGCTATACACTTGCTCCAGCTAAAGACACAAAGTTTGCACTGTGCAACTTGGGAAAGGAAAATCTGTGTGAAGCCTGGTCATCTCCAAAAGTTGAGGAGAGGGCAGGAGACCAAGGTGGCTACCGTGCACAGAGTAATCAGTGAGGAAACGGTTAGACTTGAAAGGCCTCAAGAATTGCAGAGGAGTCACTTGGGTCTTCAGCAAAGTACTGAGCAGTGCTCATGATTGAGGACACTGCGCAAGGCCAGGTAAAGAACCAGCATTACAGAGAACAATTTAAGGAGTTTGTACAGGGTCAAAAATAGCCTTTATTTCATCAGGGTGGATTGGGAAACCTCATCATTTATGAGGCGCTGAGTATTAAGAGGGGTTATGCCCTACACTTAATCCTGCTGTGGTTCCTAACAAACCTTAAAAGCAAATTAAAAGGATCAAACTGATCCCAAGTAACTTAAGTATCCTAGAACAAAGCCTAGGAATATTTCTAAGGATACAGAAACATCCAGTATTCAACAAGGCAAAATTCGTGATGTCTGACAGCCAATCAAAAATTAGCAGGCATGCAAATAAGCAGGAAAATATAACCTAAAATGTTCAGAAAAATCGATCAAAAGTGATCCCAAAATGACAAATATGACTGAATAGACAAGAACATTAAAATAGTTATCTTCACCTTACATATTTATTCACATGTTCAAGAAGGTAGAAGAAGAAATGGGCATGTCAGGTAGAAATATGCCAGATATAAAAAAGACTCAATTTGAATTTCTAAAGGTGAAAACCAAAATGTCTGGGATGAATAGTACACCAGATATAATTAACAGCAGATTAGACATTTCTGAAGAAAAAATTAGTTAACCTGAAGACATTGCAGTAAACCTATACAATGTGAAAAATTAGGAGAAAACCAAACTGAAATAAGTGAACAGAGTATTAGTGAACTATGGGACAACTCAAGGACACAAATATACATGTAACTAGTCTCACCATAGGATAGGAGAAATAGATGCATAGAAAAAATAACTGAGGAAATAACAGTAAAAATTTTTATGTATATGATGAAGAAAACAGCCTTTTCAACAAGTAAAACTAGAAAGATAGGATATCTATATGCAAAAAAATGCCCAAAACACTTTATCTTATATAAAAACACCCTATACAAAAACTCATAAAGTAAATGGATCACAGAGCAAGGTGTAAAGCATAAAACTATAAAACTCTTTTTAGTCTCATTCAAGGATTTTTTTTTATTGCTCTGAGAGAGAGAAGATATGGAGAGAGTAGGAAAAGGAGTAGGGAGAGGGAGGGAGTGAGAGAGAGAAAGAGAGAGGAGGAAAGAGAAAGAAACATCGGTTGCTTGCCTTCTCATATGCACCCCAACTGGGAATTGAACCTGTGACCTTTTGGTCTACAGGATGGTGCTCTAACCAACTGAGCCACACTGGCCAGGGCAAAACTATGAAACTTTTAAAAAGAAAATATAGGAGAAAATATTTATGACTTTGAGTTAGACAAGAGTGTTTTTACACAGAGTAACAAAAGCAAAATTTTTAATCATAAAATTTTTTTATTAATTAAATAATACACAAATTGGACTTCATTAAAATAGTGGCAGACTCATAGATAAAGAGTAGGCTGACAGCTGTCAGGAGGCAGTAGAGGGATTGAGCAAAAACTCATGGATATGGAAAACAGTGTGGTGATTGCCACGGCAAAGCAGTGGGGGCGGGGGTGAGGGAGGTGGAGGAGGGTCTAGGACAGACAAATGGTGGATGGAGGTTTGACTTGAAGTGGTGAATGCACAATGCTGTGTACACTTGATGTGTTGTAGAGTTGTGTGTGTGAAACCTGTATAATTCTGTTAACCAGTGTCACCCCAATGAATTCAATAAAAAGAGAAAAATTAAAAATTCTTTATATTATAATGCTAAGAGAATGAAAAAGATAAGCCTTTTCACAGGAGAAATCTTTGTTAATCTTAATTATGATAAAGTACTTGTATCCAGAAGACATAAATTCTCAAAGCCAAATAACAAAAAAGCATACGACTCAATAAAAAATGTGTAAAAAATTAGAAGGTATCACCAAAGTAGACATAAGCATGGCATAAACACATGAAAAAATGCTTAATGTTAGTTGTTGTTAGGAAAATGAAAATTAAAATCATACGAGATAAAGACTGACCATACCAAAAGGTGGTGAAGATGTGTAGTACCTGAAACTCTCATATAATGCTGTGGGGAACATAAGTTAGTGCCACCACTTTTGAAAATATCTTACTCTCTACACCTTAGTAATAAACCCCTATTTCTGCTTTTCTGACTCAGAAGTGAGTTGGCTATTCATCTTATCAAATACCATGAAAAACCCATTGGAATTTTTACTGGAATTTCATCAAATTTGCAAGTCAACTTGCGGAAGACTGACATCTTTACAATAGTCTATTTCTGTCCATGAACATGATATATATTGCTATTTATTTAGATATTCATCATAACATTTTTGTGTGTAGCCGTCTTGAGTATTTTTGTTAGATTCCTAGACTTAAACGTGACATTTTCTGACTCTACTGTAAATGTCTTAGTTACATTTCTAAATGTTTGCTGATGACATATAGAAATGCAACTGACTTTTGCATACTAATCTTATTTTCAAGTACCTTGCTAAAGTCTATTTTTCAAATAACTTATAGTTTTGGGAAGTTTCCATTCCATTCAAAAAATAATTTGAAAATAAGTTTTATTGTCTCATATTTAAACCTTTTGCCTTTATTTTTTGTATTTTTGTGCTTATTGAACTTTCAGTAAATTAGTACATAGAAGTGGTGCTAGTGAACATTGTTCTCTAGTTCTTAATTTTTTTAAAGTAATAGGCAAAGACTTAATCTGTTTTAAACTTTATGTGCGGGCTTCTTTGGCTTAATGGATGCCAACAAGTAAATGTGCATAAACAATAATTTTAAAACCAAGAGTGTCAAGGGAGGCTCAGAATTCCATTACATACTAAACAAAAACTTTTTAAAGCAGTCAAAATTCTTGAAGTTTTATTCTTTTCAGAAGTTGAGTCAAGTCCATTTCCCTCATTAAAATTCTGAAGAATATCATCCTATTCCCCAAAAGCAAGTGGTACTTTTCCATTCAGCTTCTGCCAGTGTCCTTAGGCTTGCCGATGTCAAGCTGGTCTAAGATGCGGGGTGGCATTTCTGTCAGCTCCTGTGTCTAAATGTGGCTGATAATGGTGAAAGTATTTGCTGCCACAGATGGCTGAGCGTTGGGATTGTTAAAGTGGGTCGCCATTCCCTGGTTTGCACACATACTTGCTTCTTTGATATCAGAGATACTATTTACTCCTACTTCCTTTAAGGAGAACTACAGACTTTTATCATCTGTTGTAAGAGATATTTGTGTTATCATCTGTTACTCCATATATCATCTCAAGGCAACTCCTTGTTACCACACAGCTATGCCTGAAGTTTGGCTAGTTTCTCTTGGCACTAGTATCAGGCAGACCAGCTGAGAGTCTAGTTCCTGATTTTAAAGGGAATGCTTCCAACAGTCAACTAATTATTTAAAATGTTTATTCAATTTTTTAAAAGTAAGATTTGAAAGGTTCTTTCCTGATCCTAAATTATTAATTTTTTTTAAAAAATCATGAATAGGTATTGAATGTTATAAAATTCTCTATTGAGGGTTTTCCCTTTTAATCTGGTTAATATGCTTGGTTACATACATGGATTTTCTGATATGAAACCATCCTAGCATACATGAGATAAATCCAACTTGGACATGTAGTATCATCATTTTTATACATGATTACATTTCACATGTTAATATTTTGAGAATTTTTACATATACATCCTTGAGTGAAATTAAACTTTAATGTCTTGTATTTTTGTTTTTAAGTATATTTTATTGATTATGCAATTACAGTTGTCCCATTTTTTCTCCCCTTTATCCCCCTCCATCCTGCACTCCCCACCTGTATTCCCCCACCCCCTTAGTTCATGTCCATGAGTTGTACATACAAGTTCATTGGCTTCTCCATTTCCTATACTATTCTTAACCTTCCCCTGTCTATTTTGTTCCTACCATTTATGCTTCTTATTCCCTGTACCTTTCCCCCATTCTCCCTCCCTGCTAATAACCCTCCATGTGATCTCCATTTCTGTGATGCTGTCCTGTTCCAGTTAGTTGGTTTGTTTTTGTTTTTAAGGTTCAGTTGTCAAAAGTTGTGAGCTTATTGTCATTTTACTGTTCATATTTTTTATCTTCTTCTTTTCCTTAAATAAGTCCCTTTTACATTTCATATAAGGGCTTGGTGATACTGAACTGCCTCAACTTGACCTTGTCTGGGAAGCACTTTATCTGCCCTTCCATTCTAAATGATAGCTTTGCTAGATAGAGTAATCTTGGATGTAGGTCCTTGCCTTTCATGACTTTGAATACTTCTTTCCAGCCCCTTCTTGCCTACAAGGTTCATTCTGAGAAATCAGCTGATAGTATTATGGGAACTCTTTGCTACTTTTAAGATTCTCTCCTTTCCTTTCACCTTGGGTAACTTAATAAGGATGTGTCTTTGTGTGTTCCCTCTTGGGTCCAGCTTTTTGGGGACATTCCAAGTTTCCTGAACTTGCATGCTTATTTCCTTCACCAGATTGTGTAAGTTTTCCTTCATTATTTTTTCAAATAAGTTTTTAATTTCTTGCTCTCCCTGTTCTTCTTCTGGAACCCCTATGATTCAAATGTTAGAACGTTTAAAGTTATCCCAGAGGTTCCTGAGCCTCTCTCATTTTTATGAGTTCTTGTTTCTTCATTCTGTTCTGGTTGAATGTTTACTTCTTCCTTCTGTTCTAAATCACTTACTTGAGTCCCAGTTTCCTTCCCTTCACTGTTGGTTTCCTGGATATTTTTCTTTATTTCACTTTGTATAGACTTCACTTCTTCCTTTATTTTGCATCTATATTCAATCATTTCTTTGAGTATCCTGATTACTAGTGTTTTGAACTCTGCATCTGATGGGTTGGCTAGCTCCTTGTCCTTAGTTCTTTTTCTGGAGTTTTGATCTGTTCTTTCATTTGGGACATTTTTCTTGTCTTGGCACACCCTTTATGTTGTAAGGGGTGGAGCCTTAGGTGTTCACCAGGGCGAGGCAATCCATGTAGCTGCAATGTGGCACTGTGTGTGTGGGAGGGGTCGGAGAAGGAACAATGCTGCTTGCTGGGCTCTCACCCCATATTCAGTCACTTCCCCTGCTACCCACAAGAAAATCAGGTCCTTCTGGTGCTGATTCCTGGGTGGGTGGGCTTGTGTACATTCTAGGACCCCTCCAACAGATTCTCCTGTGAGACTGGGAGTTTCTCCCACTACAACCACCACATAATTTTACAGCCAAAGATTTTGAAGCTTATTTCCCTTCACTGGAACCCTGGTTTGAACTATCTGTCTTGCTCCACAGTTGTTCCTGTGGCTTTATCCTACACAAATGTGGGGCCACCTGGTCTGCCAGCCTCTGCCTCACCACACATCCTCTCTACCCCAGCTGCCCATCTCTGTCCCTCCTATAGGTCTGGATGAATGTTTCTTCTTTAACTCCTCAGTTGTTGGACTTTAATACAGTTCAATCTTCTGGCAGTTCTGGTTGTTTTTAAATTTACTCTTGTCCTTGTATTGGTCGTGCAAGGAAGTAAAGTGTACCTCCCTATGCCTCCATCTTGGCTGGAAGTTCTAATTTCTTATAATATTTTTTGGTACCTGGGTCATATTGGCCTCAAAGAACAAGTAAAAAGGAATTCAATTTGGCCTTAATGAACAAAAATAGAATTATAAACAGCCTTTGGGAACTTATGTACTTTGAAGAATTAATCACAATTTCTAATTTACCTTAGTCTTCAAATTTTAACATATAGATCCTTAGAATTTTTAGTAAGCACCTCAAATGATACTGATAGGGATGACCTACTGACCATGCTTTGAAAAACAGCATAGCGGGGAGGTAGTGCTCCTGGCTTCCATCTGCTCTCACAGCAACTCTTTTAGTGCTGAAGAGGCTAAATACCCTTGCTTCCCCCTAGTATCTCTTAAGTAAGATAATCATAGTTTGCCCAGGACACTCTTTGTTTATGCCTGTTGTTATAGCATAATCAGCAATCTCTCCCCCTTTCACCTTAAAAACGTCCAATATGGATATGCCTTAGCTCTCCAGTTTGAAGATTTCATGTTACAGTTTCATTTCTTTTTTTTTTTTTTTTATGGTAGGATAGCTCTGAAAGCTACAGGCTTGGATGACCTCTCTTTCCCCATTTCGATCCCTTCTCCCAGTTCTTAAGGCTAAATAAAAACCAGTGTTTGAGAAGGCATGGGATTAAGAAAAATTTATGCCCAAGACAGAGCTAAATATCATTGCATCTCATGTTATTCAGACTAGTTCACCACTTGTAGAATCTACAGAGGAATTTAGGCCAAAGCCCTATCTATTAATATTTTAAAAATTATTTTTCTTATAAAAGTCCATTATGGGCATGGTGAGCTGGTAAGAATTTGGAGTCTGGACCACAGAGTGAAAAAAAGTTCCTAAATAACATAACTAAGACATAATTTTAAAACTTACATTTTTGGTTCTATTTATCAAAATGAAGATGTGCAAATAACAATTCTTTTCCTTGAAGACAAGTTCTCTACCTTCATTTCCACCAAAGTTCATTGTAAGGCTTTCAGAAGTCCAATTTATATATAAAAATCATGCCTAAATATTCTATCCTATCCTCTGAGTAACAATATAAAACAGGTATTCAACATGTTGTTTCAAACAATTGCATGAAAACAAAAAAGCCTTTTAAATTTTCATACTGTTAATATGAAAATAAGATATACTAATAGTATTTTTAGATTTTAAAAAATCTTAAAATTTCACTCCCACATGAAATATAAATTTCTGGAACAAGCCCAATCAATTAAAGGCATCTAAAACACTGGTAGATGTTTTAGGTGTTTTACAGGTGCTGTAGGGGAGGATAATGGGGGAAAGAAGGGGAAGGGGCTAGCAAAGGAACAGGAATAGAGGACTCTTGGGCACAGACAATGGGGGAGATTGTCTGTGGGAGTGAGGGGTAAGGTAGGGGTGAGTAATGGGGAAAAAGGTGGGACAACTGTAACTGAACAATACATATAAAAATAAACATTGATTTTAACATAAATTAAAAAAATAAAGCACTGGTAGGTATCTCATATTTCTACATTATCTAGGCTTGAAAACCCTCTCCTCAGTTCCAACACTCCTAAAATAATTGTCAATTGTTTCTCTGTAATTACTTCACTACTTTTCCTTCCTTTATAATTCTATTACAGCAGCGATTTTTAGCCATTTTCATCCCATTGCACATATAAACTAGTCACTAAAGTTCTATGACACACCCAAGAATATATATTCTGCTCGTCTGACCAAAAAAAACAGGTACAATTTTGATTCATTTATACCAGACAGCTATTTTCGTGTTGACTGTTGTCATTTTTTTATTTGACCATCTAAGGGAAAAGAGGTCAGTGTACCTGACTAAATAGTCCAGTATTGCATATTTTAAAAATTCTTGCAGCATACTGATAGAAAATCACTGCTCTAGTCCATCATGTGCACACTAAGCTATAGGTAGTTGAAACTGCATTCTTCTCTCACAGGGCCTGGAACATATTAGGTACCAAAAATGTCTACTAGATTAACGACTAACAGGGTTTTTCTGGTACCTAGCTGTACATTACTGAAATGGCATCGTTCACAGTGTTCCCAAAGAGATTTCTTTACTAATTCCTTTATAGTAGTAAGATGACATTAATTGTTTAAAAATTCAAAAATCCCACCATGATAAAATAAGACAATTTAGAACAATTAAATCAAACATTTTCTCCCTTTTCTTCAGCAAAAGAATAGCAAGTGGTACTTATATCCAACAGTTGATTAAAGAAATAAAAGTACTTTTAATATTACCAATAATTTTATTACTAACCTGTTGAGGAGTAATTGTATCTCTATAGCTCGGTAAAATTTTCAGGGTGACACTTCCACTAATGTTCTTCAGTAATTCTTGCAACTCCTTCGGATTGTTTCCAACCTCATGGCCATTGACTTCTTTAATGATATCTCCCACATGGAGCAGACCTTGTCGATCTATCATGCCTCCATGAAGAATTCGAGCAATTACCAGGTCATTATTTTCAACCCTAAATGTTACACCCTTAAGGAAATAAAAAGTGGAATTGTCAGTTATTTTAGATTTTTTTAAAAAATCTTACACACTCATGAATATGTGTATATAAGAAAACAATTTTAAAATTAGATGAGTCATTCTTATTTTCCTTATGCTCTCTCCTGTGTCAATATTCTAATCTCCTTTAACCATGTGCAACTGTGACAACAAATAGCACCCTTACAAAAAGAGTTCCATGGCAAGGTAAACGTGAGGAAATGAAACATATACTAGGCTTCATTCCCCAGGATAAAAGGAATCTCAAAGAAAAGGCAGTTGTACGTTCTGATGGCCTTGTTCCTGGCTTTTCTTTATTCTATTTCACTGTTTTTATAGTCAGGATAATTTTAGCAGGAAAGTATAAATGTCACTTCTTACAGAGCCCTACCATGTCTTTACTTTTTAATAACTTCTTCTGTGTTTTTGATATTATTAGCAAGCGATCTGAGGTAATTTCTTCAAAGGGTATAGGAAAAAAATACAGTATTTGTTTTCTGAAATTTTTGCTACCCATTAGCAAACAACTTCTTGCCTCTATTTCAATTTAAGTTTTACCTTAGTTTAATTTTCTATGCTAAATCAAGATGAGAAAGCATCAAGTGTGTATTCTATATAAAGGCTACAAAAGACATAAAACATATACAAATAAAGTTTCATTACGATACAAGTTATAGGAGAAAAAAATGATATACAGTGGTGGAGCCACAAGTATGTCAGACTTCAGATATAAGAAGGCACTGACTTATCCACTCACCAATGGTTCCCCAGCTCTTTTGTGAATACCAAGAATACGAATGGCATCTACTGGTAATAACTGATTATTGACAGAATTATTCATTTCTGGGCTTGATGGAGGTGAATCATAACACTTTGATGCCACAATATCATGGGCCTCCAACAGTGACTGTAAGGAATCAAAACGGCATGTGGTTATTAATTACTGAGGGAAGAAGTTATTAAAGATAACTTAGTTCATTATCCCAGTGGAGTACTAAAAATCTCCAACACACACATTAGTGAATCCCCAAATTTGAGTCATATCAAATGTAAGTAGAATCTTTTAAATAAATATAAACATACTTTAAACATCAAACAATATCGTATTCCTTGTTTGAAGAGATTTGAAGAGAGTTTTGTGACTTTTGTAAAAACTGCCATGTTCAATGGAAACGAAACCTGAATTGCCAAGTGTGGTACAGTGGAGGCCCTGGAGTTCAATGACACTGTTATCACCATCAGCTCCATTCAATATTTACCATCAATCCCTATTAATTAGTTACCATGCAAATTCAACTGGCAGGAACCCTAATTTTTACATTAATGTAGTTATGTTAATATCAAAATATTTTTACATGTGCAAGATGTTTGATAAAAATATGTCCAATAGAAAACAGAAAAATATCAGCATATTATATCAGTGATAGAAAATTTTTATACTAGAAATAAAGTTTGTAGTCAAAAAATATATATTTTTATGGGGGACAAAATGAGCCAGTGATGGTCCCGACTATAGATTTAACTTCTACACATACTATACATGTGCTATCATCATGGATGACTTTGATTTAGCTTTCTAGGAACTTCTTATTTTTGTATATTTTTATTTTTCATTTATACTGTAAATGTGTATACTTCACATAAAGCTAAGTTGAAAATTTTTTTGAGTTTTTCGAATTATTGCTCAAAAACAATAATTCAAAATACAAAGAAGGGAGCAAATGTCAACAAATTCAGAACAGAGATAACCAGCACATGGATTTAATTGACAATTTCTGGTTATTTCACAAAAATACATGTAACAGACTAAAAAAAATTACACATTTATATATAAGGATTATTCTGATAAATGCTGGAAGTCACTAAAATCTCTAATCTAGTACACATTTATATATAAGGATTATTCTGATAAATGTTGAAAGTCACTAAAATCTCTAATCTAGTCTTTTGTTTTCACCCTGTACTCACTTTCTTAGAGAATATTATTCACTCCTTAGGACTTGTACCACTACATATATATTGATAATTCCCAATGTTATACCTTTGGTCCAAACCTTTCATGAGCTTCAGATTCATATACTAAAGATCTGCTAAAACTGAAAAAAATATGATAATTTGAAAATCAAAGTGTTAAGGACTGCAGAGCATTAAAACATATTGAACTAACAAAAAATCCAAACCAAAGGATTAAAAAAAGACATTTGTTACTATTTAAGATTGCTACTTTAAACAATTCTTTATTTTGAAAATTAATAAAAGGAAAGATCAAACATTTCTTTTACTTTTCAGTGGGAAATGCATTATATAGCAAACTAAATAGCCCAGATGATGAGGAAAAGCTCTACGTCACATAAGAACAACAGGAAATAAATGCAGGATGACAGAATTTTTTTAAATGTCACACAATTATTAATGTGTTCGTCAATCAGCCAATGGATAAAAGGAAAGAGCATTTGCATAATGGTAGAATAACACACTAGATTACTTCTAGTGGAAAAGCTTTCAAAGAAAGGGTTAGACTATCATTGCCCTTAATCAAGGGATCGATCTTAGCATCAACAGTGGTAGGCCAGCCAGGTATTACTCTAGGAGAATTACTACTGCGTGAATATACAGAGAATAAAAGAAGAGTTTCTCTCTTCTACAACTGTCACATGTAACCAGTGCCCAAGTCCTGTTCATTTTACTGTTTAAAACTTGAAATCCTCATTTTTACACTGCCACCACAATTTCTTGCCTTTTTACTTAACAGTCTCCTTCATAATCTGACCTCTCGCTGTTTAATACCTCCTCTCATCCCTGCCCAAGTTTTCTCATTGTCCTCAGGATAAACTCTGAATAACTTAGTGTCTTGTAAGGCCTCAATCAACTGGCCCCTGCACAAAGGGTGTCTCTGATGTACGTCCATTTTTTTTGTACTTCATATACCGATTTATATAGGAAACCATTTCACTATAAATCTTCAAATTTCACAGTAACATTGAGAGTCACAAAAAGTCTTTGAGAAAAAGCAAGGGGGTGTTACTTCCTAAGATCTGCAGTGGAAAGCAGGTGACACTTTATTTCTCTATCCCACCAGCATTTATTGAATAGTCTGTTTTCTCTCCACTAAAATGTACTATCTCTGTCATAAACCAGGTGGCCATATTTCTGGGGTTGCTATTCTCATCGATTAATCTATTTTTTTTTAATGCTGACCCAATACTACACTGTCTTCATTACAGATTTATAAGAAGCCTCCCCCACCCCCTTTCTCTTCTGAAACTGGTTCTTCTTTGCTAAAATGATTAACTCTTCATTGACATAGACCAATGCTTAAGTTGCACTTATTTTTTGTACCTAACAAAAGTATGTTATGTAAGTTTCTAACCTCACACAGCTCTTTGTTGTTCCAAGGCCATCAAATGCACCCCAGTCTTAGAAGCAATACTGAAAATGTGTGTGACTGGCCACAAGGAGGTCTGGGAAACGGTGGTAGTGAGAAAGTAAAATCCAGTATCAGGGAGAAAAATGTCTCCAGCAACTGGTCTGATGGTGAATTGTTTTTTTTTTTTTATTACACAAAGAAAAATCTACTCTGATTAATGTCTGTTAGTTATATATGTCTGTTTATATATCCTCAGAATATCAAAATATTAAAATACCTCTGCTGGAATTTACATATTATAAAATATGGCCCTAAATAACATTTTAAATGCTCATCTTAAACTGGAACTTAACTACTAGAAGGAGAATATTTGGGAACACAGTGGACACGGAGAACCGACAGAGAAGGGCAGTTTACCTGGAAGTGAGGCTCTTTGAGTATACCAACCAGTTCTGCCACATTTTCATCCACATTGACTAGAGGAGTGATATCTTCCAGAATTTCATTGACTAATTCCAAGTTGTTGTCACTAACAGCTTCTAGTTTTGAATCTTCTAGCCTCTCATGAGCCTAAAAAGACAAGGGTAAAGTAATAATACATATTATTTGCTCCAGACTGTGATTTTCTTCTTGATTTGTTTCTTTTTTTTTTTTGGTAAGGTTTTAGAAGATATCACTTGAAGGTTTGATTCATTGGAACAAAATGTAATAATTCAATCAGAGGTAATATATAGTTTGGGGGGGGTTTTAGTAAATGTTTTCATGCATTATAATAAATCAGCTGCTATTCCTGTAAGTCATGGAAACTAATTTTTATAACTAAACCATGAAAAATCTAAATAGGCCAGATGATAATAAAAAACACTATTTCCTCCACAACAGAATGTCCTAATGACTTTCTAGACTAGGCTCAAATTCTAGATGACACTGTTCATGCTTTATTATAATAAATGATTAAGCATAATAAAAATAAAGAATAGGCACAATCATTGTATAGATTAACACTCGAAAATAATAAAAATCATTTTGGGAAACCCAGAATTCTTATGCTGCCATCTTCCAATTTTTGAAAAACAGCAAAATAATATATTCAGGGGAGTCAGTTCTTAAACTGGGCCTTCAAGGACTATATGATTTTATCACTACATATCTTAAGCTATTTTTTTAATCTCCTAAACTTTTTAACATAAATTGGACTGTGAATCACACTGTCACAGAAAATCGGTAGTTCTAATTATCCTTTAATAGTAGTAGAAGAGTTTTTTTTTAATTTATTTATTGATTTTATAGGGAGAGGATAAGCAAGAGATTGAGAGAAAGAGAAACCCTGATTTGTTATTCCACTTATCTATGCACTCACTGGTTGATTTTTGTACGTGCCCTGACCTGGAATCAAACCCACAACCTTGGCATATTGGGATGATAGTAACCAAATGAGCTGAACCAAGGGCCAAAGCAGTTGTTTTTGCTTTTTTTTTAAGTTGAAATGCATTTATTTATATAAGGTGGCCCTCACAAAAGCTCCCCAAAGATATTTATGATTATTGGATTTTTTTAAATGGATGGGAATTTTATTTTTATTTATTGTTTTAAATTACTTTATTGTTGATCAGTTACAGTTGTCTGCATTTCCCCCCCACCATTCTCCCCCAACCCCAGCCAAACCTCCCTCCCTCCCTTGCTTCTACCCTCCCCCTTGGTTTTGTCCATGTGTCCTTTATAGTAGTTCCTGAAAACCCTCCTCCCCACTGTCCCCTCCCCACTCCCCTCAGGCTATTAGATTGTCCTTAATTTCAATGTTTTTGTTTATACTTTGTTTGCTTTTTTTCTTTTGTGGATTATGTCCCAGTTAAAGGTGAGATCATATGGTATTTGTTCCTTACCACCTGGCTTATTTCACTTAGCATAATGCTCTACAGTTCCATCCATGCTGTTGCAAAGGGTAGGAGTTCTTTCTTTCTCTCTGCTGTGTAGAATTCCATTGTGTAAATGTACTATAATTTTTTGATCCACTCATTTACTGATGGGCACTTAGGTTGCTTCTAGCAGTTGTCTATTGTAAATTGTGCTGCTATGAACATTGGGGTACATAGGTTCTTTTGCATTGGTGTTTCAGGGATCTTAGGGTATAATCCCAGCAGTGGAATTGCTGGGTCAACAAAGCAGAGTTTTTTTGTTTTTTAATTTTTTTTTTTTAGATTTTATTTATTTATCTTTAGATGGGAAGGGAAGGAGAGAGGGAGAGAAACATCAATGTATGGTTGCCTTTTGTGCGTCCCCTGCTGGGAACTGGCCTGCAGGGAACTGGCCTGCAACCCCGGTATATGCCCTGACTGGGAATCGAACTGCGATTGTCTGGATCGCAGTCCCACGCTCAATCCACTGAGCTACACCAGCCAGGGCTCAGAGTTTTTAATTCAAACTGAGAATGAATATTAGGTAATCTTCATCTTTTAGTGTTCTTTGATTTTTGATAAATGGTTGCTGTCTGATTTTGAAGACACGTAAATAAAGCATTATTAAGATTTAGTTTATAAATGAAAGCATGTAAGGTGTCAAGTCTTACACCTATTTTAAGATTCATTTCTGAAAGTGCTGAAGAAAAATCCAAATTTCAAGTGGCAACTCTGTCAATTAAACTTTATTTGATACCTATAATACTTTGTTATTTCTATTATATAGAGAGAATTCTTCAGAGTCCAAATACACACATTTTAATTTTTTAAATGCAATTAAAAAAATATTTTATTTATTTTTTAGAGAGAGAGGAAAGGAGGGAGAAAGGGAGAGAAACATCAGTGTGTGGTTGCCTCTCATGTGCCCCCTTCCGGGGACCTGGCCTGCACCCCAGGCATGTGCCCTGAATGAAAATCAAACCAGCGACCCTATGGTTCACAGGCCAACGCTCAAGCCACTGAGGCATGCCAGCCAGAGCTAAAATCCAATTTTTTTTCATTTAAATGTAATTTTGGGTTATTCACAAAGTAAAACAAGTTTTTAAAAAGTGGGGGCTATATATTCAGTAACATTTTTTAAAAATACCTCAGAAGAAAAAATTTTAAGTCATGTGAAGTAAACTGATAAAGAAGAAATTATACCTGCTTTTAAACAAAGAAAAATGTCAAAACACCAAATGTAATTTAAACAGAGGAGAAAGTTTCTATCAGATTTACATAAGAAAAAAATTAAGACTAGAAATACCACAAAGAATGAGAATAGGTAAATGTGAAATTTTTTGAAAGCTTGATAAGAATAGGATAATGAAGATATGCAATACATATCATGAAATGAGCATCAACTTTGGAAAAATACTAAAATAATTAACACAATGAGCTCTTTCAAAACAAGCTAGAATTACTATTTTAATATAGATACTAGCTTTAATAAATTTCTAATTTAGCAGCATTAATCTTGTAATACTCTAACACTTTTAAAATAGTATAAAAAAGCTTAAAACAAAAAGAAAACAGTTAACATTTATTGAGGGCATTTTTTATGTGTATGTGTCAGGAACCATACCAGTATTCTCAGTGCAATATGAGTGTAAGTATGTGAGTGCATGTGTGCGTTTTCGGCAAAGATAGGTATGTTGTTATCATCCTCATCTTACAGACAGGGACACTGATACAAAATGAAATAAAGTGATTTGTTTAGGTTCACAGCACTGGTAACACACAGAGTCTGGTAATCTTTTATCAAGGCCTGACCTCCCCTGCTCTCGCCCAGCAGGGGTATCCAGCCCACTGGCTGCCTGTGACCCAGGAGGCTATGAATTCGGCCTAACACTAATTGTAAGTTTACTTAAAACGTTATGAGACTTTGTTTTTGTTTTTGTTAGTGTTTGTGTATTTAATGTGTGGCCCAAGACCACTTTTCTTCCAGTGTGGCCCAGAGATGCTAGAAGGTAGGTTACCCGAAAGCTTATTTGACTCTACCACTATACAGAGCCACATAGTTAATTATTCCACCTAATATATGATGCATTAAATGTGTAAGAGATGCTCTCACTGCCTGCTAATTGAGTTGATGCTTCTTAACATAGCTCTTCCAGTACAAAGATGCTAGTTCTGTTCCACCACATCAATCCCCATACTTATTTTATACTCCCATGGTTCAGAATACCACCCTCCCCTTCAACCTTCACTCCTCTGCTCTGAGTAAGAGAGATAAAGACTATCACCTTCTCTGGGAAACATGTAGTAAATGGCTTTCCTTAAGGTAGTATGCCAATTTTCTGTTACATGATCAGCATATAGTAACAATACTTTCGATATTGGTAGACTTTGATTCAATTAAAGACTCTGAGATAAAAAGTAACGGAAATGATCACTGACTTGAAAACTCTAATACAGCACCTTCCTTTCTATGTTCATCTACTTTATTGCTCCCAAATTGGGTGGGGACAGATGGGAATGTGGAAAAAATAATGGCAAGAGATAAACAGGAAGTCAAGTAGGAGGCATAATCATGTAATAAAAACAAACCTGCCTAAAGATATTTTCACATCAACTGCACAGACTGGTTCTACGGTAAGAAAGAATCTGACAATGTAATACAGAAATTCTCAGAGGAAGATAAAGTATTTTCGTAAAACTGCAGCTGTAATTATATTAACATGGAAAATCAATTTCTGAAATATAGTTGGGTTCAATCAAGATTGATTTTACTTTTATTGAGAAAGCAAATGCAGGTTCATATTTTTAAATACATAGCTTCTTAATCTCTGAATTTTTGTGAAAGAAGTTTGAAGTTAGAATTTATTTAGTAGCTTTCGAGAGGCAAGTACCACCTGGAATTCAATCAAACCCAAACAAAGGAAACACTAACCAAAGGGACAGATGAATCACATGCATTTGAATAAATGGGTCTTGTTTCTTTAAAAAAGAAACACTAGAGAAAGCTAGCATAACTCAATAAAAGCATATTCGCCTGCCACACGTGGCTGGAAGTACATGCTATGACTGACTTTGCAGAACACTTGGAGCTAATACAAATATGGCCTAGTCTTGAGGTATGGCCAGTTCTGAGAATGTTACTCACCACTACACCTTAGAAAAATAAAGTACAGAGAAGAAAAAGTGCTTCAGAACTTCTGAGTATTTCGCCCAAGTTCAGCCTAACCATACTTGTAAAGAAATTTTTAAAAAGTTAACAACTTAAAAAAATTTTAACAGAAGTTGTGGGCAAATATCAGAAGTCACAAATACTATTCTCTGTTAATGATAATACACTATTACAATGTACAGTAATCTTGCCGTTCTCCCTTAAAAGGACCAAAATATCATCAATTTTGTTACTATATTCCTAGAACATGGCTAAGATGTAGCAGTTGCTCATTAAATATTTTTAATACAGCTAAGTAAATGAGAAATAAGTTTGACTGTGGTCAAGAGTCATTCTCTTATTTTAGAGACTTTAGAACAAGAAAGATGAAGAGAAGTCCATAGTCAAAAATGAACAAGAATTTGAGCACAAAGTAGAAATGAGATGGAGAATGGGAAACTCAATTTTTACCTTACTTCTTCATATATTACATCAAAAAAGATGAGATTTGTTCTGAACAAAAAAATGGATGAAATAAGTATAAGTAAATTAGAATTGAATTCTCTGAGTAAAGAATTTGTCAGAAATCATCCAGTTAAGCAGAAGGAGTTCAAATTATTAGATTTGATAAATTATATCTTTATAATTGGAATCATACAGTATGTAGCCTTTTCAGACTGGCTTCTTTCACTAGCAATATGCATTTAAGGGTTCCTCCATATCTTTTCATGCCTTGATAGCTCATTTATTTTTTTATCTCTGAATAACATTCCATTGTCTGATGTACCACACAGTATTCATCCAAGCATCTTACTGAAAAACTTCTTGGTTACTTCTAAGTTTCGACAATCAACTCACCTGGGTAAATATCAAGGAGCACAACTGCCAGACTATATGGTAGTAACACTATGTTTAGCTTTATAAGAAACTGCCAGACTGTCTTCCAAAGTAGTTATATCATTTTGCATTGCTACCAGAAACATATGAACAGCTCTCTGTAGGATATGTTTTGCAAACATGTTCTCCCAGCCGGTAACTTGCCTTTTCATTTTCTTAATGGTGCCATTTGAAAAGGAAAAGTTTTAAATTTTGATAAAATCTCATTGATCACATTTTTTGTTAAGTTCTATGCTTTTATATCTTACCTAAAAACTTTCTTCTTAACTCAGGGTCACAGTTTTTTCTTATGTATTCTTTTAGTTTTTAAGTCTTAGCTTAGTTTGCAGATCTAAGATCTATTGTGAGCTAAGTTTTGTAACCAAGGTGAAGAAAAAGTTGATGTTCATTTTTTTTGTATATAAATATTCAGTTGTTCCAGCAACATTCACTGAAAATATTATATTATCATTTCATCGTTGAACTACCATGATGCTATTAACAAAAGTCAGTTGACTGTGTAGGTCTCTTTCTGGACTCTATTCCATGCCACTGACCTATATGCTGGAACTACAGTCTTCATTACTGTAGAGTGATCATAATCCTTGAGATCAGGCTGTGAAAGACATAGCATTTTGCTGTTCTTCAAAACTGTGTTGGCTGGTCTATGTTATTTAAAATTTTCACTATCATCCCATCAACCTGAAACTCAGACTGGGATTATACTGAATATATAGCTGTTTGCTGAGAAGTAGCATACATATTAATAATGTTAAGCCTTCAGTCCTTCACTTATGTATGTATGTATGTATGTCTGCACAGGCATACCTTGTTCTATTGCACTTTGCTTTGTGGGTGACAATGCACCTGGTCACCCCAGAGCTCTGATGAAGATGTACAAGGTTATTAATGTTATTTCTGTGCCTCCTAACACAACAGCCATTCTGCAACCCATGGATCAAGGAGTAACTTCAACTTTCAAGTCTTACTATCTAAGAAATATGTTTGTAAGACTATAGCTGCCATAGATAGTGATTTCTCCACTGGACCTGGGCAAAGTAAATTGAAAACCTTCTGGAAAGGATTCATTATTCTAGATGTCATTAAGAGCATTTGTGTCATGGGAAAAAGTAGAAATACAAACACTAACAGGAGGTTAGAAGAAGTCGATTTCAACCATCATGGATGACTTTCCCAAGTTAAAGACTTCCGTGAACGAAGCAACTGTGGATGTGGTGGAAAACAGCAAGAGAACTAAAATTTAGAAGCATACTCCAAATATGTGACTGAATTGCTCGAATTTTACAATAAAACTTTAACAGATAGAGTTGCTACTTATGGATGAGCAAAGAAAGTGGTTTTTGAGATGAAATATACTCCTGGTAAAGGACTTAGAATATGACGTAAACTTAGCTGATAAAACAGTGGCAGGGTTTGGGAGGACTGACTTCAATTTTGAAAGAAGTTCTGCTGTAAGGACTTTGCAGCCCTGCCCTCCCACTCTTTAACTTTTCCCAAATGGTTCTTGCTTTAAAGAGCCAGTGCCATATGCCCTTTCTGACCTTTTTTTCACACAGCCATCTGTCATTCCCAGAGTGTTGATTTCATCCTCTCTTTTGATCATTTTTAGTCACTTGTTTTTTTTCTAAGACTTCTGAAAGATCATAACTTTTACAAAGCTTTCCATTGATAAGGGCAAATTAATGACACAGATTATTTTATTCACAAACTTAATCCATTTTAAGATCACATGATATACATAGAAACTAATCCACTTGCTGATTGTCCAACTGGAATTTTTTATTTTAGTCATTTTTGACTGCAGTGTTTCCAAAGTTCAATAGATGATCCTTTACTTTAACAATAATAATATATGACATGATTTACTTTCAGATTCAAGACTTTGTCACAAATATCAACCACTGTACTGTCTTGTGAAAAAAGTAATAGCTTCAGGGTCTCTTAAAATACATAGGGGCAGGCCTTTTAAGCCTGTATTACATGGCTCACCCTGAGCTCTTAATTGGTACTTTAAAAATAGTTTTTTACTCTTCCTTTGATGTCATACTATTAGTTGTCAGTTTTTCTTGTCAGTGTATCTCTTAAAACCCATCCCCATATTCCTTTAATTTATAGCTTTTGATTTGTAGATTTAGAAACTAGACACTATTATATAAGGCAGACTTTGAGAAGACTGACTTCAATTTTAAAAGAAATTCTACTGTAGTTAAGTGCTATCAAAGAGCATTGCACGCTACAGAGAAATCATTCATGAAAGGAAGAGTGGGCTGATCAGCAAAATCCACTGTTGTGTTATTTTAAGAAATTGCCAGGGCTATCCCAACCTGCAGCAACCACTACCCAGATCAGTAGGCAGCTATCAACAGAGTGGCAAGACTCTCCACCAGCAAAATGATAATAATTTTTAAAATTATTAAAAAATAAATTTTTAGCAATAAGATATTTTAAAAATTAAGGTATGTACTTTTTTTAGACATAATGCTATTGCACACTTAATGGATTATAGTATCTTTCATATGTACTGGGAAGCCAAAAATGTTGTGACTTGCTTTATTGTGATGGTCTTGAACCAAATTCATAATTATCTCCAAGGTATGCCTGTGAAATAAGCCAGTCAGAGACAGACCAATACCATACAATTTCACTCATATGTGGAATCTAATGAACAAACTGAACAAACAAGGAAAATAGAGACAGGCTCATAGATGGTGAGCAGGCTGACAGCTCTGGGTGGGGGGTGGTTAGAAGGTAGAGGGATTGAGCAAAAGGGAAAAAGAACTTATGGACGTGGACAACAGTGTGGTGATTGCAGCGGGTAGGGAGTTTAAGGGGACTAAATGGTAATGGAAAAAATTTAAATTAAAATCAAATAGAATAAAAAGTAAAACAGTAAAAAATAAAATAAAAATAACCCCATCAATCAATCAATTAATCAGTACCCTTGCTGTTGCTGAAAATGGAGAAAGGACCACAATCTTTTTCACAGGTCCCATTATAACATGACTACTCAGTTAGGGTTTCCCTAAAACTTTAAATGTGTTAGGCTACTAAAACTAAGGATCATTTCACCCTATGTTTAAAGGCAGCAAAGAAAAGGCATAAAGTGGTCCAATTTTGATGGATACAAAGATTTCATTATGTGGCTAATACTATTTGCTAACTAAGCCTAAGATCTAAAACAGCAATATCTGAAAAGACCTCTGCAAAAACAATTTTAAAAATAATTTGGCCCTGGCTGGTATGGCCTAGTGGATTGAGGGCAGACCTGTGAACCAACGGGTCATGGGTTTGAATACCAGTCAGGGCACACGCCTGGGTTGCAGGTGGCACATACAGGCAACCACACATTGATGTTTCTCTCTCTCTCTCCCCTTCTCCCTCCCTTTCCCTCTCTGAAAATAAATAAATAAAATCTTTAAAATTTTAATTTAATAATCTTATGAATAAATCCACATACCTTAGCAAGTGATTTTACAATAGGATTCTCCATAATCCCCTTGAGGAAAATTAGGTCTATTTCTTCTGCTCCTGTAGATGAGGGCAGCTCCGTAAGGTTATCCAAGACTTGCTGCATTGCTGTTGAGATAAAAGCAATATATTAACCAAAAAAAAAAAAAACCAAAAACCAAAAACAAAAAAATGTTTGATGAGCACATACCAAATATAAAGATGTTGTAAGTATTATAGAATTAACTTGAAACATGTAATGTTATTAACCAATGTCACCCCAATAAATTTTTAAAAGCCTTAAATTTCAAGCCATTATTAAATGATTATAAAATAATTCAAATTAAAGGCATTAACAATGAACACTTCTTTGGAAAAAAAATCACATTTTAAAAAACCTGAATTATTAAATAGTGTAAGTTTCAAATTGACTTCCCATGAATTAGTAGCAGGACAGGTTTTTATATGTAATTTTGGCTTTATCAGGCTGCCATATACATACTTATAATCTTACACTTCCTTTATATCTTCAAATTGGAAAACATTACTTAGGAAGAAATATTAAACTTTAATAGAGGTATAAAAAAGTGGCGAGATTAAAATAGTAATCAAGAAACTTCCCACAAGTCCAGAAACAGATGGCTTCACTGGTGAATTCTATCAAACATTAAAGAATTAAAACCAATACTTTACAAATTTTTCTAAAAAAAAGCAGAGGAGGAAACACTTCCCAACTATTCTCTGAGAATCTGATACCAAATCCAGACAAAGCTATCACAAGAAAATTACAGCCAATATCCTTTATAAATGAAGATGCAAAAATATGTAATAAAAAACTAGCAAACTGGATCCAGCAACATATGAACATATGAAGAAGATTGTACACAGTGACCAGTAAAAGTTATCCCAGTAATGCAAGGGTGTACATCGATATATGGAAATCTATCAATGTAATACATAGTATTAATAGAATAAAAAATGATATCTAAATAGACACAGAAAAAACATTTGACAAAATCCAATATCCTTTGATCAGAAAAACATCAACATATACAAGAAAAATGTCTTCAACTTGATAAAGAAGATCTATAAAAATTTCCATAGTTTACATCATACTTAATGGTAAAAAACTGAAAACTTTTCCATAAAATCAGGAACAAAGCAAGAAGTCTACTCTTGCCATTTCTATTCAACATTCTACTGGAGGTTCTAGCTGGGGAGTTAGGAAAGAAAAAAAAAATGAAAGGCGTCAAGATTGGACAAGAATAAGTAAAACTATCTTTTTTTGGTAGATGACATGTATATAGAAAATCCTAAAGAATTCATAAATTTATAAATGAGTTCAGCAAGGTTACAGAATACATGATCAAAATACAAAAATCAGTTATGTTTCTATATACTAACAATGAACAACCTGAAAATGAAATTAAGAAAACCAATCCTTTTACAACAGTATCACAAATAAACCAATTAGAAATCAGGAATCATTTCTAATAAAGAAGTGCAAGGTTTTGTACACTGGAACTATAAAACATCATTGAAAGAATTAAAGAAGACAAATAATAGAAAGATATCCCATCTCATGTTAAGATGGTGATATACACAAAATTGAGCCCCGGATTTAATGCAACCCCACCGCAATCTCAGCTGCCTTTTCTTTTTCGTTGTTGTCACAGAAATTGATAAACTAATCTTAAAATTCATGTGAGAAATGCAGAGGACACAGAACACCCAAACAATTTTCAAAAAGAACAAAGTGTAGAAGATCCACACTTAATTTCAAATCTGACTCAAACTACAGTAAACAAGACTGGCATAAAGACCAAAAATAAATCCATAAATTTATAATCAATTGATTTTCAACAAAAGTAAAAAGACAATACAATGGAGGAAAGAACAGTATTTTCAACAAATGGTACTTGGACAAATGAATATTCACATGCAAGAGAGTGAAGCTATAACCCTTTTCATTCCCTATCAGTCTTGATTTTATTCAGATTATTTATATTAGTTTTATCTCCTCTTCATATTTCTCTAGGATAAGTCTACTAATATGGCTGTTTATTTATTTATTTTTTTTTAAATGATGCAGCAATTTTTATGAAAATGAAAACTGCTATTAAATCTGACAGGCTGTCACAACCACAAGGAAAATAATAGATGTAATTATGGCAATAAAATTATATTTGTATTTAGTTTCTTTCAAGGAGTTAAAATAAAAGTATTTTCTAAGTTAACAGTTTGGAATAATGTTTATTTTTAATATTCATTTTCTATTTTTATTAAAATAAAACATAAACACTCTTTAAAGTCAGATTGTATTACTAAGTGGCTTATAATGAAATACAGCAGTTCTCTGTTCCATACTATCCACTCCCCCAACTCATCCCACCTCTCCAGAAGCAACTACTTTAAAGTTTCTTTTAATCACATCATATATTTCTAAATATATGCTAATGCTGCTTCTTTTTAATTTATCCACTCAGACATTATCTATTTATTTTCTGTTAGAATACTAGACGGTTAAGCTTTTACCTTCCCCTATCTCTACGCTGGCCAATTTTCTTTTTTATATAATCAACAGTAGGTGCTTTTCATATGGGACTTCTACAAGTTTTTTTCCCTGAATGTTCCAACAAACTTTTCAAAGTTCTAGCAGTAATTTTCCCAAATGCTCAATTTTCTAATACTCTATCAGACCTATTCTCTGGCTTCTACCCTTAAACTCCCTCCCAAAGTGTTCCTTCCCTGTACTTTAAGTCTTGAAAACAGGCTCCTACTCAGAATATGTAAATGAGTGACAATTTTGGAAGTAAAGAGGTGAACAGGAGAAAAAACATGCCCTTAAAACAAAGAGAAGGAAAACTGGTATTGGCTAAGCTAAAGAAAGAAGACACTAGGAAACAGAAGCCACTTCATAATTTTGCTGGAGGACCAACGTGTACCTTTAAGTGGACAGAAAACAACAGAATCAACCATCTTCAGGCATATTTTTACCTCTAATTATAAATGTAGTTTAAGTTTTACTTTTCATACTTTTTTTCCTTGCCTTTGACTTTCTGTATCTGCCATGTATTTTATTTTTAACTTTTATTATGGAAAATTTCAGATATACATAATTGAAGACAAAATAATACAGTGAACCCAATAACTATCAGCTCCAACAACTAGCAACACATGGAAATCTTGTTTTGTACTCCCATATACTTTGGATCCTACATAATTTTGAAGCAAACCCTACATTTATATTTCGGTGTATACATCTAAAAGATCAAAACTCTTTTTAAACAAAATGCTGTTAGCACAAAATATGTAACCAAAATACTGTTAGCACATCTAAAACACAGTAATTCCTTAATATCAAATATCTACCTGGGGTTCAAATTTTCAGTTGTATTAAAAGTTTTTTAAAAATGTATCTTCTGTATTGGTTCTTGAGGTACTTAAATTTTTATATTTGCACTGAATTAAGTGGGAAGAAAAGTGGCAGAGATTGTGAAATATACCCTTGGTTATTTTGAATATCATCTTAAGTTGTTTCATTTTTGATCATACAAAATTTAGTTAAAAACTGGTAAACCTGTCAATATCCCATGTCCTGGAAAGGGAATCTTGAATACCATAAAACTGCCAAACATTCTGAAACTAATTTGTACATTTAATAGAGTTCTAATCAAAATACAACAGACACTCACAAAGCCACGCTTTCAGGCCAGGCCTGGCTTGATCATCCCCCATCAGGAAATGGCCAGGGAACTCCATTGCACCTGGGCTCATGACACAGAGCAATGGCACAAACCAGCCATTTACAACTGACATGCTGCAAGAATTTTTAAAACATGCAATACCTAACTATTAAGGTATTGTCCTTAATAGGTCAATAGGCACTGATCTCTTTTCCCTTAGATGGTCAAATAAAAGAATGACAACAGCCAATAAAATAGCTGTCTGGTATGAATGAATCAAAATTACTTGATTTTGATTCATTCACCCCTGTTTTTTTATTAGATTGGCAAAAAATATATTTTTTGGTCCTGCAGAATTTTCATAATTAGTTTATGTGTGCAATGAAATGAAAAGGGCTGAAACATCACTAGCGAAAACCCATGAAGTTTTGCATGGGGTGGGGAGGCCATGTATAGGGCAGTAACTGGCTGTCCAGGGTGAATGTGTTGCTGATGAAGGTTGACCCAGTGTTTGTACTATTATTTATTTTTGTGAAGAAGCAAATAATGCGCTTTTCAACAAAATCTTGAGGAAGACCTCGTGTCCCTGTAGGACACATGCCTCCAAAGACTTGAAAGAAGAGACTGACACTGGACTATTTAGGTTTCAGTCTATCAAGTATGAACCCTAGCTCCTTGTGGAAGATGATGCAAGACTGCTACAGACTGCTATATCTGGAAACCCAAGGGAAATCAGAGTAAAACTACCTGTACAGGATGAAACCTTTGGATGCCATCCATGCCAGGATCCCATTTTAAGGTGAAGGCTGGCATCCCCATTCCTTAATGAGCAAGAATTTCTGCTCCTACCTGCTAGATCTTTGAAACACCAGTACCCTTTGTGAGGGTCTGCACAAGGTCCCGACTGATATCCTGATGGATGGTTCCCTATGGGAAACAGGTCTGTGGACAGAATACCTGCCTATCCAGAGGCACTGACTGAGCTGGCTGCAGTGAAAGACAAGGTGGAAAGTCCCGGCAACAAAACCAGTCAGCAGCCAAAGACCTAACCCAGTCTCCTGAAGTCTTCCCAACAACCACCAGGTGATATACCTCCCTTCCAGTCAAAAAAGTAAACTAGCCAAGCTCTGTCTTGTTGCAGAGTCAGTCAGACTGCAGTGTGCTTGCCACACAGCCCCCAGGTCGTCCAGTTCAGTAGGTCCAGACTGGACCAGCCAAAGCCCCACTGAGCCCAAAGCTCTCAGAGGATCAGTCCCCAGCCCTTTCTCATGTGGAGTTTCAGAACATCTGCTAAGTCTTTATTTTCCCCAGGGTGGCACTTTTTCCAGAGTTGCAGTCGGATGTTATTCTCAATGTTCCTGTCAATGCTTCTTTAAAAATTCTCACTTGGTTTTGATCATAGTTCACCTTTCCTACTACAGGCTATTTAACCCCAAAGGTGAA